CACTACGGTATACTTGTTGAATTGTAATTTATTATAACAAAATGAGTGTCTGTGGTGACTATCAAAATGATTCGTGATGACTTCATATTGTCTGTTTTTATGTGTATTTTAGTAAACACATACATGCAAACCCACAAAAGTTAACACAATATTTTTGTATCTGCTCATTTTGTACCTGGTACTCTGACAGATTTCATCAACTCAAAAATTAACTAGAAAGAACCATCGGATATGTTTATGATTTTTTCTGCACAAAAAATCTATTTATTATTCCACAGATAAAAATTGCAATATTTTCTGACACCCTTTTACTTCATATGCTACATCATAAAAACCGAAAAAATTACAGCTTAGTACTGAATTTCTTAATACTAAATTTCTAGGCAGGTTTTATGCACATTACAGTTGGTCATGTTACAAAAGGAAAAAAAAAAATCTTTATAAAGTTGTTCAATATTTACACTATTTTACAGACAAACACTTGTTAATTTATTTCCACTCATAAGCTATATATTATTGTTCTGCATAAATATAAATTACTGCAATTTACAATCTTCAAAACACTTTTTCAATTGTAACTCGTATATTATATAGCACAAGGCACTAAACAAAGGACATACCAGTTTACAGCTTTCAGAATATGTTCTATCTATACTATAGTAATTGAAAAATTGGCTAACATTTACATTAGCTACAACAGTGCATCTTGTAGATGAACATTATGATTTCTCAATTGAAGAGAATTATGATTTTGAATCAGCAAAGGTTTACTGTGAATTAAGCTCATTGGATTCGCATTCCACCCTTCTCTCTCCACAAATTTCAGTCTTGGAACTTGAAACACTTACATTTTTTACCATTATAAAAAGGTATAGCGGTAGTATATTCTACATTGCTGAAGCTTACACCAATTTCCAGCGTGAAATCTCGACTCCCTTTGTTTTAAAATACAGCCTTTTCTATTGCATGGAATTCCAAGCTATTTTTAAATTAAATGTGCTTTGGACCAGCACTGTTCTACACATTCATAGCATGCACACTTTGCTTGTTTATTTCTAAATCTACATATGTTTTCAAAGGAATTTCTCTTTGGCTAGAGCACGTTAATTAATTAATATTTAAATTAAATCTAAATTTACTTTAATATATTATCCAACACTATGCCTTTGAAAGACATACATACATGTAGAAGGGTAATATTACAGATAAGAAGAATAAAATAGAATTAACAAGGAAATCTGCCAACAAAGTCCACCAGTATCTTACATTAAATCAACAAAATTTCAATACAATAGGATAAAACTGCCAAGCCTATGTTGTTAGGCTGGTAGAAGGGCATGAACAAATGCACAGCCAACAGATGGCCTTTTAAGACTATTTCCACACAACACATTTCAGTCAGGATATCACCTACGATATCATCCTGCGATCCGATTTTTGAAGAAATAACAATCGTATTAGATAGGAAATCTAAACAAACATGTTCCTGATTCAGCTTCTAGATAATGATAATAATACTAACAGCCAGAATGTTAGTGTATCAAACTCTTCAAGTCAGAATAAAAGCCAAATTGGTTTCAAATCGTAGACTATCGCACCACCGGTCCTACGTCACCGATTCTGAGCCAATTTAGCTTTCCCTCTTACAAAGGAAGCATGAAATCCCTTTGAATTTAGATATTCTTATTCATATGACTACTCAGATCCTTAGTCATTAAAGATTTGACATGCTTGAATGCTTGTATCAAATGCTATTGCAGAATCTTCCAAATTGGATTGTAGTCAGATTGGTAGTGTGCGCCGACCTTAATAAATCTTTAATGGCAATAAATGTAACTTCTCTGGATTTTTTCTTTACCCTTACATTCCGAAATGAAAATAATTAAAATTTGACTAAATGTTCATATTTTTAAGGCCTTTCTGCTAGGCACTTGATACCTTGGTGTTCATTTCATCTGCACTTCACTTGGTCATCTTGATCTGAACCTTGTTGGCAGACTTCCTACTGAGGCACTTTTCGTGCATTTTCTGTCTCCAGTCGCACGCCTCTTTGTAGTTGCAGAAATTGCACTTCCATACCTCCTCCACGTCCACGCCTTCCACCTCCCTCTCGCCTACCCAGAATGCATTGTAGTGATCCAGCGTATCTTTGAGCCAGACGGGGTCGAATTCGTGTTCGTGGACCGCGAAAGGCTCCTTGTCATCCTGCGAGGAGTACTCAACGGCGAGGGAGTCGATCTTGGACAGGAACTGGAAGCGTTCCAGCATGGCGTTGAGGTAGTCTCCGAACTTCGGAAGGACCAGGTCCATCAAGAGGGCGTGAGCGGTGATTTCGTCATTGACGGATGCGTCAGGGTCGAGGCCGATCGTCTCTAAGATGGTTTCCTTCTTCAGAAGGCCACACACTGCTTCATCAAACAGCTGCTTGTACAGCATTACCTAACAGGGTCAATGAGAATCAAAAAATGGAAAAATTGAGAAAGTGCACCTTCTTTTATTAATCTGAAATGGTACATGATCACCGGTACAGCATATTTACAGAGAGTAAGCGACATTGAAATTTATTTCAATGAATTCAAAGAATAAGATATTAAATTTACATGTTAGCTTACATCTTGAAAGCTAAAAGGGGATTAACTCTGTGTTAAATATATAAGCTCCAGGCGCAGATCCAGGATTTCTTAGGTGTGGGGACCCAATTTTTTTTCATTTTTTTTTCAAATTTGAAAATCGCGCCGGCCGAAAATGCGCTCAGTGGGGGGGGGGGGGGTAGTGAGCACATTTTTTTTTTTTTTGGTTCTCGGAAATTAAAAAATTGGAACACCCCCCCCCCCCCCCCTGGATCCGCCACTGAATACGTCAACTGGTCTGCTGAAACCATACTTTCCTTCTCAATTTTACTAGGATTTCCTGTTTATCTATACCGGTAGACAGATATGAGTAAGTGCCAGGATTGGGCTTGAAATAACATTGTCCCTCTCAATTAGGAAAGTTACAGGTACAGTACATGTTAGGCATAAATAGTGACCATTTTACCTGTAGTTTGTGGGTCTTTCTTTGAGCTGCTGAAGGAACAGTCCTAGACTTGGCCCTGGTCTTGAATTCTACCACCTCTAGCTGACCACGACTGTTGTATCTGATCTCGTCTATAACACCAACCTTGAGAAATAACAAATTTAATGTTTCAAAGTTTCATAGAGATCAGCCAATTCAACAATCAGATATTATCTTCTAACCAACTTTGCAATTTGTCAAAATGATGCAAGGATAACAATATTTCTAGTCACATTGATATTTACTGATTCTCATGTGATCAACAATAACAAAAAAACTTGTTCAAGTATCAAAATAGCTTTTCTTGTATCATAATAAGTAAGCGAAAATATATTAACCCTTTGTAAGTGTCCAACCTCATGTCTCAGGCATGGTAATTTTTCTGATTCTACGTTTGCACTTTGCAGAACTGATTCATTTCCTAAAGTTGAAGCACTTGAGCTTTGCCATGTACAAGCTTAGGTAGCCCTTTCATTTAGAAGAGTTACTTTAAAAATGAAATCCTCTCAATCTAATGTTATGTGTAAGTAAAGCATCCGCCTTTATGTTTCAAAGTGGAGCTAGGAAATTTTTTGATTTTCTTACCACAAATGCTCCACTCTCAAAGGGCTTCCCAAATATAGGCATCTCCCTGACAACACATCTTGAGGCTCCGCCCCCTCCTCCTCCTCCTTGGAGAAGTTGATTGACAGCACTAAGAATGTTGAGAAATTTGATGGCCCATTTATCCTCCTTGGTTTTCACTGCAATCTGTTTAATGGTATGCACCTCCAATTCTGAATGATAGAGAAAAGTAATATTACAAAGTGAAGAATTATCTAAGTTTTGTGAACTTTAACAAGCTCTACATGTACATTGTATGAATTGTGACAGCCATCTTTTTGTTTAAAAAGTACTTTTTTAATTAAAATAAAAAAATTACTTTATCATGAATGATGCATCACTCCCCCTCCCCTACAAAAAATGTTAATTGTTATAGGCCTACTCTGAAGAACTCAGCTCTGAAAACAAATAATTGAGATAACAATCATGATGACAACAAGAAAATGAAAATTTGTAAATTATAAGGTTAAAGAGGAAAAAATAATTCAAATCTGAATACACTCTTAGATCCTGATGAATGTCTCTACTGCTCTATCGTCAATGTAGTATGTATGACACTTTTCATTTAATTCTACATGTTTCTGCTATCATAAAACCTGGGAAAAGTCGATATAAAAACATAATTCTATAACACGCGTTTCAATGGAATAGTCAAGAAGTTAGACTTTTGATGGTTTTGAGGAACGGGCCCCAGTATACATTGCAATATATATCTTACCTCTCTTTAGATGCATATCTGTACCAACTTTCATGGCTTCTGTTTCCAAGATCTCAACTGGTTTGCCCTCAATTCCTGTAAAATCATAGAGAAGCTGCCTCTCACACCATGCTTGAGCTGTCAGGTCAGACACCCAGAGGTACTTTCCTCTGAACTCCCTCAACGGATCCATCGTAAATTTCTTTGTCTCTTCCTCAAGATCCATCTTGGCTTTCTTTGTCGGCGAAGCATTTGTAGCAATGTCACTTTCAGTTCTTTTTGCAATTGTCCTTTGGCAGTTGTGGCAAACGTTTTCCTTGCAGTCATCTTCTTTTGCACTTTCTTTACCGGCTGAAACCTCAACACCCTTCTCATTTTGCTCCTCTGCCAAGATTGAGTCAGCAGGGTCAGTGACAGAGGATTTTTCACAACTGCAGATCGTTCTCGATACTTCCCCTAAATTCTTTTCAGTTTTATCATCGTTTTGTGAGAAAGACTTAGTGTTGTCACTGACTGATGTTGAATTGCTTTTCAAACTTTGATCAAGGTCATCCATGGCTTGATGTAAAATTGCCTCATCTTCCCAATCGTCCAGCCATTCGTCACCGAAACACATTTCACCATCCCCGCCGGAGCTCTCGCGTTCCTTCTTCTGATTCTCCGTACATCGCGAAGCAGTTGCACGGCTGCTTGTCAGTCGAATAGCAACGGGTGCTTGTTTCGCAGTTTTCTCGGCCATGACGAATTAAATCATACAAATCTCCCTCATAATTAGCAAAGCTACAGTTTAAGTTCTTATTCCGTCAGTATAAACAATACTCCAACTGGTCTGTGTCGTTAAAGTGCAATTTATTATCGAACGGTCGTCGATCCTGCACCAACTTGTTATTAACCAGTCAAAGATTGCGCAATAGCCCGCGCTAATCATAGTAAGCTTTCAGTCTTAAACATGTTTTTTTAATAATTAATTTTATTTTTAGACCACAGAAAGCAATACAATTATTTAAAAATTATGATTTATATTTATGTTATTATCAAACATTTATTGTTTGTTGAATTTTGTCTTATGATAGCTTAAATATACAAATTAATGTTGAGTGATAATTTAATTTCCTTGCAAATAAAACTATTTAGGAGCAAGTTTTGTCATGAATCCAAGTTGAACAATACATGCAGAGAGCGGATGAGCCATGGAGGAGAAGGTTGATGAAGAAGGATTTTGTGTTGTTTCCAGAAAGAAAGGAAGGAAGAGAAGAGGACCCTCTTCCAGTGCTAATAAAGGAGATCACTGTAATCTTTCTGTTCTCCCCATGACGAGTGATATTGATGCACCGTCACTGATCGTTAAAATCAAACAGTGTGTGTAAGTTCGGAATATTCTTTTTCTCTAGACATCACCGTTCATGCTGTCTAAAACAGTCTAATTCTTCACTTACATTTATGACAATTTGAGCTCAATACAATGTAGTTTTGTTTGACCCATTGACATTGTTGTTTAATTAGCATTTTAGCAATGAAACTGCTGATAATCGTTTCAACCTTTAACTATGAGTGATATGAAGGGATATTAATTATTATTAGATCTAGATCTATTATTAACTACAAATAGACCCCTAGTCTAAATACAACTGTATAGGTCTAGATTCTAATTATAATTTCCCCATTAAAGTGTAAATTACATGATTCCATGTTATTCGAATAAGAAGTTTACTTCAGTGACAGTTGTATTGACAATGCGGTGGTTTAATGGGATTCATAATTTATTACTTGTTATATACCTCACTTAAGAAATCCAGCCATCTGATTGGTCGAAATTGCATTCATAAACTTTAATTATTTCTGTAAAATTCCCAGTAACCATGGTTAAAACAGTTCTAAAATCCCAGTAACCATGGTTACCGGGAATTTAGTTCAGTCTCCATGAGTCCATGGTTACCCCATAGGTTTACATGTTAAAAAAATGGTCTGAGCGATCAAGGATACCGTACGTGTGCGAAGAATTGGTCGGTAATTTCAATACAATTGAATCTCGATCGATTTTACCAACAATTTTATCTTGCATTGTTGACATGAAGACGAAAATAAACTTCCAAAACAAAAACAAAAAACATCTGCCGATAGATCTTGATCTAAGTTCATGCCGATATGTGTTGCAAAAGTAAAAGTAAAAGAAGGGCCTGTTTAATGGAGCAGCGGTGAAGCATCCACCATGCGAAGCCGTTTTCAATCCATTTTAATGTATATATTAGAGAAAACTGCTAGATATGGTGACAGAGCGCGATGGCCGAGCGGTTTAAGGCGCTGATTTTAGTTACATCACCTTTTGTACGCAAGAGATCGAATCCCATCTTCGACAAAAAAAAAATATTTTTTATTTTTTATTTTTTAGTCTATTTTTTTTGGCATATAAAAGTATTAATGACTGCTTTAATATTCGAGAAATAGTTGTTTTTATACGCTCTCAAGAAGGTTACAATTGGGCTATTGCCCTCGGCACGCCTCGGGTAATAGCACAATTCTAACCTTCCCTTGAGCGTATAAAAACAACTATTTCTCTCAAAGCAGTCATTAATACTATACTGTTGTTGATGACAGATGGCTCGAACTTGGCTAGCTTTGTCAATGTTTTTCCATTCTTTTATGTGTCATTGTGTACATGTCAGGCGCGTATGTGGGGGGGGGGTTGAACAACCCCCCCCCCCCCCCCTTTGTAATTTTTTTTTTTTGTTATTAAAACAAATTGTTGCGATTTTTTGGAGACCAAATAAAAAAAAAAAATTGTCCTCTTACCCCCTCCCCTTGCTTATTCAGCGGCTGGCTGAGTCGTTGTGAAATTTTCGGACCGATTTTAAAAATTTAAACCCCCCCCCCCCCCTTAAAAAAAATCCTGCGTACGCTACTCTGGTACAAGTACATGATTTGTATTATCAATTCTTTTTTCAATTGTATTCTTTAGGAATGACCTTCAGATCAGCAGATTTTTCAGTGAATTCAAAGGTGAGTTGTTTTCTCTAAAGTTTCATCTTCCAGATTGTCCTGAATTCTATTTTCCAACGTATGTGATGTAGAATTTCGTTTTGTTTGTTTTTATAAACACAGAATCTTAATGATTCTGTGTTTATAAAAACAAACAAAACGAAATACAGAATAATTTTCCAGTTTCAAGAAAACTTTTCTAAGAATTTCTTCAACTATGCTTAGATCTATTATACTTTCAAATTCTGAACATTTTTTAAAATTAATCTTTTTCAGAAACATGGCAATTTGCACAACATCGAATCTCAAACAGATTACCCCAGAATGACATCTCATCTGAACACTGCATTCCTGAAGGCCTCGTCAAAGACACCAACACAGAGGGAAGAGGTCAAAGTTCACAAAACAATGTGCATTCCACTCAGGAAAGCAATACAAAGGTATCATTAAAACAGACGGACCCCAAAGAAAAAGATGATAAGATCTTTGCAAGAACTGAAGATGAAGAGGGGAGGAGGAGGCAAGCATCTGCAAGAACACAAAATTCATCTCCGTATCATGTGACAGATTCGACGATGGCCAAAACTAAAATTACACAGTCAGACAAACGGTTAGAGGATACTGCTCACGAACAAGGAGAGAGTTTGAATTCGACAGGAGTTGAAAAGCTGGGATTTTTAGAGAACGATTTAGGAGAGATTTTGACTGAATCCAGGATTATGAAGGACAGGAGAGTGAAGCAGATTGTGTGCTATGGTCTCGGTAATTTCTCATCATGTGTGACGGCCAGATTTCAGCTTGCGTTGCTGATTCTACTGAATTCATTGGTATGACTACAAACCAGGGGAGTGTTTCACAAAGAGTTAGATCGACTTTAAGTTGGATTTAACTATGGCAGGCCGTTCATGCCACTAGTTCCTCTAACCATTCCTGGCATAGGTTTCTCAAGGGATGTACAAATCATGGTCACAAATCTACAGATTTTACATTTTCCATAGTTTGATTAAAAAAAACATTATCTAAAGATCATAATTGAGAGACCAATGGTGAGAGCAACCAATGGCATGAATGGTCTGCTATAGTGAAGTCCAACTTAAAGTCGATCTTAGTCTTGTGAAACACTCCCCAGGTAGCATTATTATCCTTTTGAAAGCAAAGTTCTGTAGAGGGCGAGTAAATATAGATGATAACATCCCAATCGTTGGGAACTAGAGTTAGGTGTATGGTCAGGGTTTAGGGTTTGCAGATGTCTTTCACAGTAAATGGAGTTCAAAATACAAAAATAGTAGAGTAGAGCTAATCGAGGGTCAGACTTATATGGTGCATTCACTTAGGTTTGCATGGTGGGCAAATCTTTAATTTTATATCTAAAATAGAGTCATGTATAATCACATGTACCGGTACTCTACATTATGTGACACTTGATATTAAATTCAAATTTCAGTAAATATTTACTCTTCATGTATTTAAAGGTATCTCCAAAGAGGTGTTATTTATATGACCCTAACTTCTCTGATGTTGAAAAGCAAGTCCTTGAGAAACTGGGATATTCACTCATCGACAAAAATGAGGTAAATAAATATTTTTGTCTTCTTTAATTTTCCCAATTCACCCTTTTTCATCCTCTTCTCTCTAGATTTTCTTCTCCCATTTCTGTTCACATATTGAGAGCAACAATGGCATTAACTGTTAGCTCTTTTCTCACTTTCATTCACAGTGCATGAACCATGTACAGCACAAACTGTTCAAGTAGAAGTTTATAATTTTTTGTTGTTTCAATAACGTGTGTTTGGATGAAGAAGGGCATTTACTCTGTGTCAAATGATATGAGTAAAGCTATGGTCACAAATCAGAGCAGCGACCGACCGATCAGTAGTCTGCTCGGTAGCTGCTGGAATTTAGGCAGAATTGGTTAAAAACTTGCCGCTCGGCCGCCGAGCAGGCTACTTTTGGGTAATGTGACCATAGCATTAATGACAGACAGTATACAGATGGATGAAATGTATTTTGTAATATAGGCTATTATCATAATGTAACCAAATTGAATGCATGTGTCTTGCGAAGTCTATCAATATAAATTATTTCACCTGTTACAAATAATTGTATCTCAAAAGTCACAATGCGAATTGCATTCAGTATTTGTTGCTGGGTAGGACAAACATTATGGTTTGCCCTAACAACACATGATTTATGCAGTTTGCATTCTGACCATCGAAATACAGTTATTATTCTTAGGAGGTGAATGAAATAATTTGTATTGAAGCACAAAAGCGGCCTATTTTGCTTGCAGTTTGAAATGTCATATACTGAATTCATGACTGCTGTGATCAAAATGTTGAACTGCTAAAGTAGGGCTCTAACAAGTTTTAAGCTGATCGCTCATTTGGATATCAAGATATTTAAGATTAAGAGTAGACATCGCAGACACACTACAGGGCAAGTACTTCAGCTTTCTGTTTTGTTGTTTATTTCATACTTTCTTTTCCGTCATATTCACCATTAGGAAGGGAAACGTCAGGTGACAGAACCAACTCTGTTCTTCATGCCTCACTGTGGGAAGCCTCTCTACAACAACCTCCTGTGGGCCAACTGGGGTCAAAGGTTATCAAATCTTATCATCCTCGGCAACAGTTTCAATAACTTCTCAGAGAGGTATGTATTTTCTTCTTTTTTGTTTTAGGGGGGGGGGGTTCTTTTATTTCTTCCATTTGATTGAAATTCATTGTATGAACACGAAAAATACACAATATTATGAATTTGCTTTTTGATCTACTGTATGTACCATGGGGGGGGGGGTGAGGACCAGATTTGTACAGCTATATAGATTTCAATCTTTTCAGCTCTAAGACCTTATCTGTGCTGTTGCCACAAAATACAATTGACTTTTAGAACTGTTACTTGTATTCCCTGTACTGTAATTTCACATGGAATTTTGTTTTATTAATGAAAACAATGACCCATAACCCCCCCCCCCCCCCCCCCCCATGACTGTGATGTGTTTGCCTGTTTTACCCCAATATTCTCTTTCTTTGTTATGCAATTTGTGTGTGCAGTGTAAATTTAGTTTCTTTCTCTACTATTATGGTGACAACTTTGCTTTTGAACGTACATGTACATGTATCTTCTTTTTGACACAATGCTAAACCATGCTGGATATGTATACCGGTACTTTTCCATGTACATGTACACTGTACATATATATTTGATTCATCATTTTTTAACTGTTTTAATACTATACCCAGGTTTACAGCTAGGCAGTTGAAAGAGGAGGTTCCCTACATCCAGAAGGTAAAACATTTTGTGCTTAGCCTTAAAATCATGAAATTAATAATCACAGATTTTCAAGAAATTGGATGTGCACTGTGTGCAAGCTAATGGTTTTATTATTTAAAAGTGACTTGTGTTGTGTACTCGGTATTGCATTTACAGATACTTTTTTTTTTGTGTAGCAGCAAAAGTGCAAAGTTAAGAAAGTGAAAATGTAGGTGCTTGTTAGCAACGTCTTAAAGATTTCTTCTCTTACTCAATCAGTAAAATGGAATATATATGAATCAGTATCACTTTTAGCTGTCTATTCAATTCAGACTCTAGAGTGTATGTGTATCAAGAAGATGTTTTTATGATTGCATATTTTTTTTTTTTTTTGGGGGGGGGGGAGGGATTGGGGTAAAAGAAAACATATTTTAACATTAACGTTTCAGGTGGTGATATGTGTGAAAAAGAACTTTCAGGCCAACCCACATCACGTTTCTTTATCTCTTCTTTTAAAATTTCCATTTACAAAAATCCTCACAATTAATGTCAGTTCTCTACCTGTTTCTCTCTTAGATTATTCCATACCACCATGAGGTTTCAGTAAAGAACAGCTTCCAGTACACAGACATCTTCAATGACATTGCCTTCCAGGTCTTTCCCGTTGATCTCTTACAAACAGCGCCCTCAACTCTATGGAAAGACAAAGGCGAGCCCAGTTACGAACACATGAGCAGCGTTGAGATAATCACAACATCAAGCACTAGTTGAGCAGCAGTCAGGCAGTTGATTATGAACTACATGTAATGGACTTCAAATATTCAGTATATCAATGTTATTCAGTACCTCAAACATCCTTTTAACTTCAAACCATTAGTTTCTTTACTGTTTCGAATTTACTATCATCCTGTAATGTTTTATTTGTGTGTATAGGATGATTAATGATTTGGAATTGGATTGGAATAGAGGTAATGTCCATAAATAAAATGTTATTTTTAACTATTCTGACAAGTTTTAGCTGGTTCTTTCTGTGCATATTTTCATGGTTTCGAGAAATTCTTAAATAATTATATTATTAAGTATGAACTTGTTTTATACAGAAAGGAATCAATGAGAAAGGAAGCAATGGGAAAGAGAGAGGAAGATAAAGAAAGCAATTATGTTGCTCAATATTTTAGATTAGCTTTAATGTTTTTTCTTCTTTCCTTATAGTGTTTACTAATCTGATGCAGGTACATTTCATATATATATATATATATATATATATATATATATATATATATATATATATCTGTAGCATATTACTGCAAAGGAACACTTTCACTACCACACAGAGACAAAAGTATATACCAGAGACAACAGTTATTTATTCATTGCAATATAATATATATTTACATATAAATACAGGAGTAGTCGACATATAAATATACAGATAAGTTTGGTATACATTAGTTTCTCACTTGCATTGACTCCACCTTACTGTGAAAACGCACACACAAAATACACCAGTGAATGCCTTTTCATTCACTTGTAAATACCCCTTGTTGCCCAATTGTTCTCCTAAAGTACATGTAGCGTGATTGGACACATGATCTGGCAATATTTTGCCTGTTCAGAGCCAGAAGGGCATTAAATTATGTTAAAATTAAGGATTTATTGAGTAAAAGCAATTTGGTTTGTTTTAATAATAATATTCAGCTTTTATAAAGCGCTTAATACAATGTCTCTAAGCGCTTTACAGATATACTATTACCCCGGTCATTGGATTCAGTGCTTGCCGCACACACTGTGTGCACAATCTCCACTCCCTGGGGAGCATTCCAGCCAGGCGTTACTAGACGCTCAAAAGCTTTTACCCGACTGCTAAGAAAGCATGTGTATGCCTGTATTTAAGCAACCAGGAGACCAACGGCTTTAAGTTGCATACAATGAAATAGTTCTGAGCTGCAATACCTTTTCTCAATAGAACTGTTGTGTGGTATTATTATTTACTTTAAAATGCAATCTTGAACAGCCATACATCAATATTGCATGTCGTTATACTTTAGTGATCGAAAGATATTGAATTTATAAAGTTCTAGATAAAAGATGCATGCCCAAGGTATATAACAAATTACAGTGCTAAACAAACAAAACAAAATTTCAAGAAGGCACCATTATTTTCAAGTAAACATAATAAACATCAGATCATAATAAGACTAATTTAACTTGATACAGCTGCTTTAAAACAAAAATGATGCATTGATTATACAAATTATAGAACTTTATCTACCAAAGCCAAAATCTGTTGAAGAAGTTTTTTAAAAAAATTAGCTCAGAAAGACAATGATGGATAAACCTTAAAAAAACAATTAGACAGATCTTTTTATTCTTCAATTAAATTTTTTAGATAAATTTTAGCCATGGGCAAGAAAAAGACTTATATGTTCAAAAATATTATTTTTAAGCACTTTAAAAAAAAATAGCCTGGTATTATTTTTTTCTTACATCTACTGAACTAGTTCTTCTGCATATATCTTTTTCAATTAAGGAACATCGAAATAGTTAAACTGTAAAGACATTTATGAATTATGTCTTAAAATCATTTTAACCATTTGCCAATCTTAAAATATTTTCACTTTTTCTTTTAGATTACGGTATTCAGCTGCACCATACACTAGCTGTAATCTGAATCTACATACAGTTCCAATAAGGGGAGATTAGTTCACTTAATTTGAAGTATTTTTCAAAACAATACAGAGCAAAAAAAGAATGGTCACTGTCTGTTAAATTAGATATTTTCATCCCCACATCAAATCACATATCAAAAACATTTCAAATACTGAAAATATATTTGGCATACATGTAGTTTATAACACATTTGTATTGCTATGTGATGTTTGTTAATTTCAATGCACCTCAAATTTAAGGTGAATAGGATAAAGAAAAGGAATAATAATAAGATCTGCTGATTTTGAAAACATTACGGGTACCATTACCCCCTGAATATTGTTTGTCATCAACAACAGTTGACTACCAGTCTATAAAACAGATCACATTTTTTGTTTCCTTTGAAGTGATGATTCTCATCGATGTATGTGTCAAAGAACACCTGTACACAGAGACCACCTGCCTACAAGGACCTCTCTTTGAGTCTACCTTTGGCAGTCTTCCCCATACAGGGTTAACTGTATCACAATACTTGGTAGCATATGGGACAGTAATGGAAAAATTAATTCAGAATTTGCCATTCTATACTTGTGTGATTGGATTTCTACAGACGTGTATCAATCAGACAAGATTTTTAAGTCACCTTTAACGGCACCATACGAAAGATGGATCAGGATCAGTTTGTAGGCGGAGACAGAGAGCTAACCATGGACATTACCACTAGACCAACCCACATCTCTCTTAACATAGATATAATGCCCCTGTTGCAACAAACATGAATGAATAAGTTTAACACACATACAAGTACCCATAAGAGCTGCATATTAAAGTAGCAGGTTTCACACGACTCTGGCTTGGCACACTCAATCAACAGCTTTGCTTGCAACCTTCTACACTGTATTCCCGAATCCCAAGCCATCAAGATCTTTTGGGCTGATCGATGTCAAAGGTCATATTGTCTGTTTAGAGCCAAAAGGGTGTTAACTCATATACTTTAACATTGAGTTAACGCCCTTCTGGCTCTGAGCAGAGGATATTCTCAAGAATCGAACATGACCCTTGACATAAATCATTCCAAAATGTATTATCAGCCCATTAGGTGTACTGTGCACTGCAATATAACTCAGCAACTGATGATGTACATACACGAGTCTTGAACCTTGAACCTTCTCCTTTCTTTTGTGACACGGACACTTACCACTAGACCAACCCATTCATAAGTGCGCCACTGACTGTGCAATATAAATACCACCTACAATAAGAAACACTTGGATCACACACTTTTTGTTTCAAACTAAAATAATAACTAAACACTTAACATTCCATGTTGTGTATATTTTTCAAAAAATAATATCTCTATCCACTTTTGAAACTATCTACAAGTTATTTAATCAATATGATTTGAAGATGGAGTTGATGAAAGGTGAATGATAGATACTGAATATCACATAAAATAGAAAGAGCCACATCAACTTAAACCCCCTGAATTATTTCCGCTTCAAATAAAATACCAACCATGAGGGAATTCTATGCATATATTAATATTCAAAGGATTGCTATGGTGAGGAGAAAACTTACAAATATCACTGCAAAGTTTGGTGTTTAATAACAAGGTTTGTATTGTCTCATTACTATAGGCATTTTTATACTGTTATATCTAATGATTTGGGCATAGTTGATTATCGATTACAACAACAAAAAACAATTCAAAAGAAATAATACTAATATAAAAGAAAAATTAATATTTCACTTGATAGAAAGTTGTGGCCCCAAACCAAAACAACAACCTCTTTTTGCATAAATGTGTCTTTTGACTCTTTATCATGATTGAAATTTGGCTTTATTAGGTGGGAAGGAAAAAATAACCTATAAATCTACACATTCAGTAATTAATTGGCAAGATTCATATGACAAAAGGCAAATTGTGAAATAATGAAACTCAAGAAAGTTTTGACTATAGCTCTGAACGTTTAAGGTTAATTAAGAAAAAAGTATAAGGAAGAAACTATATTCTGCAATACTGGTATGCAAAATACAGACATTTCTGCAAACATAAAGTGATGAAAAATAAAAACACTTATCTGAGGTCTGATACAGACCAAAAATGTTTGAATGTCCAGACCCTGTGATAGAATCCATTTTATAAGTTTCAAGTTCACATGAAGCTGACATGCTGATTAAGACCAATAATTTATCATCTCTCCACTGACTGGATTATTTGTGAAAATATGCCTTGGGAGAGAAGAATGAAGAAAAACAGATACACCATTCACTAATTTAGCACATGCTAACATTAGCTGATGAAGGTTGAAGCTAGTTGAAGCCGGATAAAAACCAGTTGGAACAAGTTATAACCAGTTTCCACTGTCCACATCCATAACAGTCTAGTTTAATAAAGAGAGCAAAGTGGTTTGAATACACCTACAGTGAAGAGCTGATGACAATAATATCACATCCAACACACTAGTCTGACTACCACCGCCAACCCTTGTCCAATCAGGAGCTGGCGTGACGACGCCCATCATCATGTGGCCATGCCGGTCGTTGACGAAGATCTACTCATAGTGGGCGTTGTCTGCTGGCTACTACTTAGAGAATTGTTCAAGTTCTTGATGTCCATTTTGGGGCTGTTGGCGAACAGCGCCGCCCTGTCCTGGCCCTGGCCCTTCTTGACCCAATGGCGGTAGATGTTGAAAGCGCAACCGTCGAGGGCCTTGCGGATGGCCTTGACGCCGTACGGGTTCTCCTGGATGGAGTGCGGCGAGATGATTCGCTGACCGCAGTAGTGACGTAATCTGACCACGCCGTATACCACTAGACAAGCAGCCTGTTGAAGGAATTTTTATAAAATTAAGCGATTTAACAGTTATAAGAAATCTTTATGTTCATTAAGGACTAACAAATGTCTACACATGTAATACTAATTAATGGTACTGAAGGAATCATTACAAAATTATCAAAAGGGGGGATTTCCCTAAAGGCCTCTTTTATCCAGAGCTCTTTTTGGACTTCTTGCCTAATTGCTCCTTTCCCCATTACTTTCACCAATAGCTTTGTACAACGTGTCTGAAAGTTTTTCATGGAGATGTTCCATCGAGTCGTTAAAAATCAATATACACAAAAATACAAGCTGATAAAAATACAGTCAAACCTGATTTAGTGACCACCTGTCTACACAGACCACATTTTTTGCGTCCTTTGACAATGGTTTCTCATTGAAACATGTACTAAAGGGACCTGTCTACAAAGAACACTTTTCGTGTTTTCCTTGTTTGGCTTGTTTGACTGTACTAAGCTAATCTTCAAATCATAAAAGCTTCTTCCTTCCTTACCTTAAACTTCCTTCTTGCATTGAATGTTGTTCCTATAGGCACCTCAGTTTGCTGGAAGAAGGGATGTTCTAATGCTTCCTCTGCTGTGAGTCTTAATTTAGGATCTACTACTAGTAACTTAGATATCTGAAAAGAAAATGGTACATTAACAATCAGAATGGTTCAAATGTTCAGTGTGAAAACATTGGTTGACAGGCTACTACCAATTCTAAGATCCAAATATCACAGTAATTAGTTCTTTTTGTTGGAACAAGTCATAATTTCTTGTCATATTTATTGCACTCAACACTTGACGACCCTACGGTATGTGCAAATTCAAATGTAATACACACGTTACTAAAAATGATTAATATTTATTCATGTTAGTGATATTTTCTATGGTGACATCACTGATTGATAGTGTATAGCCAATTTCTAATTCTCCAATGCGAGGAGAATGTTTATTATAACAAAAATTATCATTACTTAATAACTCCTAATTGGTCATAGCTGGAGGCCATTAACTGTCAATTTCACGTCCAACAATGAGAGGTATAAACAGAACATGATTGAGTCTAACTTTGGACATTTCATAGGTGCTACAAATTAATTCTACTGTAAGGAGGCAACAGAACAGTTTACAAAATGTCTGTCACAAATTGAAATCAAGAGAATACATCAAACAATTTTTGTTAAACTTTTGTCAACATAAATAGAATATAAGACACAATCAAAGTTTTAAACATCGGAAATAAAAGGAAAGATGAAAAGTACATCCTTTGAGAGGAATACTGAGAAATTTTTCACTGTATTTAAAATGTGGTCAACTTACAAGGTCTTTAGGAGTGTCTGATATATCATCCCACTCTGGACTGCCGAACCGGTATCTGCCTTCCATGATCGCTCGTAACATCAGCATCTTCTTCCTATGCCAGAAGGGCGGCCTACCTACAAGTCTGCAATGATAGATAAAAAAACAAAAAATTGTTACATAACACCATTTTTGTTGTCTTCACATTTCCACTCACAAATATCATGGATCATTTACCAACTTTATGTAACTTTTAAAAATCTTCTTTCATTATTGATGTTATAACATGGATTCCTACTTTCAATCCCTAGAAAATGTCATAATTTTTCAATATAATATTTATAATTATACAGTAACTGAATACATTTTGAAGAATGCAAATCTCTAATTGCTGTTTCCACATTGATAGTCTCTTCCAATTTTCTTTTTATTCTGTTACAAGGGCCCTGTCCTATATCAATCGTAAGTCCTACAATCAATCCTATATCAAGTCCTACAATCAATCCTATATCAAGTCGCGAGTCGCAAGTTTGCAGTCTCCTATCTCTTATGTACATACATGTAGTTTTTTTTTTTAGCAGATGTTTCTGCTTTTATTGATAAATCAAACATAAAAAATTCAAATAACAATAATAGTATATAATATAATTGATTTACATAAAGAGTGACAACTTAAATACACATATATAAAAATACATATATATATATATATATTTGAAAACTTAAAAATATGGAGGTAAGTAAAATAATCAACATAAATGCAAAAGGCCAACTATCATAAGCAAGAATGCTTGAGTCGATAGCAGCCGGGAAGGGGGTGGGGGGGGTACATGGCGCTGTTATAGGAGTATGTAAGAGAATAGAGTGTCACGTATAAAGATTTTGTTCAGAAAATATCTAAATAAAAAGTGGAAAGAAAGTAAAGAAAGAAAGAAAAAATTGCAAGTGTGTGCAAGTGTGTTGCGATCGATATCAATCGCAAATAAGTTGTGATTGATATCAACTCTTTATAAGACAATTTATAGTATGTAATTACAGCACCCACAAACATGTTTATTAATACTTTCAAGAAAAAATATCTTGTTAAGCGATAGCATACCATAGCATAATCCAGCAAATATGATAAGAGTAATAGAAGGCTAATTCCACAAATACGCCTGAAGAAATAGTAGCTTTTCAATCTGTTGAAATCCTGTGTACACAGTCACTACATCACCGGTCCAAATATCAAAATATTGTCTCTGACCAAATGCAATAATATTACACAATCTCTTGAGCCATTTCATCAGTTTTGCCTAAAGAAATAGTACCTTATCAATCTGTTATAGCCTATGTGAAGTCACCATATCACCTGTCCAAAAATCAAAATGTTCTAAAAGTATGCTTTTGTCTCCAACCACTTGCGATAATAGTACACAATCTCTCGAGCCACTTCAGCAGTTTTGCTTCTGATCTATCGTGAGAATCATAGGTAAAGGCTTTATATAACATCCTAACTGACACCACCTATCCTTGTACTCTTAGGACTGTCATGCGGCCAAGGTCTCCAGGAAATGAAACGTACGCTTGAGTTCCTGGTATACAGGCGACTAAATAGTGGAAGGTTGTGGAAGATCTTGAATAAAGAGAAAAATAGGAATGATTGTTTTGGAGGAGACTGGACAACGTTATCTCCCATTATTCAGCCATTGAGCGGCAAAACAAGATAAAAAGAAAACACAAAACTGAAAACAACTGAATAAAATGTTCCTTGTAGAATCAAGTTTAGAATAAACAGTGTCTTCTCAAAAATGTTTGCACATGATACAGTACTGTTTGGGTCAATTTCTCATAATTGTTCATACAATCCAAACAATTTACAGTGGATAATACAGGTCAATATTATCAAGTTTGGACAAATTTGGAAATTAATAAAATGAAAAAGTGTGAGTCACTACATGTAAAAAAGTGATTGTGTTAGAACTTTCTCTCACAACTAAACTCATTTCAATATAAGCATTGCTGTTCTACCCAGGCCTACCCCATTCCGAATCAAAAGTGGGTGCAATCTTTGTTGCAATGATTTTATTGCTTATTCCTGGATGAGGTTATTCTCAGATTACGACATACAGAGTAAAGAGCTTTTCTATTTTATTCAGGAAAGTGAAATATTGCGCAAGATTGTCTTTTTTTCCTTTCTTTTTTATTTAAACTTCTCCTACAAAAGGGAAACTCCCTGATAAGAACACCCAAACTATAAGAATTTCCCCAAATTCAGGACAATGAGATTAATGCACACCAAGAAGGCTGCTACTAAAGATAGCATCGGTGTTTGTTTAGTTTGACATTTGATTACAAACTACAAAGCAGGAAACATGAATAGTTCCTCAAACATGCTACAACCTGTCTTCTCGTCTTCCTGGAATGTGACAAAATGCAACCACAAACTAGAACATGAATGACATTAGCTTGTTTTCACTCCACTCCTCACAACCAATGGCGAATGGGGGAGGGGAAGCACAACTGGCCCATACCCCCCTGTTGAAACCCGACCGACAAACTTGTCTTAGTGGCCACCTCCCTATAAAGGCCACCTGTCCGTAACAGCCATTATTTTGTCTCTCTTGAAAAAGAAATGCGTGTTATAGAACCTGTCTACAGTGGCCACATTTTCTGTTTCCCTCGAGTGGCCTATTTTATAGACAGGTTTGACTGTAGTACTTGACAGAATACCACTCCTCAATCTTGTTCACTTTCCATCCCCCTTTTTTTACAAAATCCCTGATCCGCTCATTTTAACATTTATCAAAAATGTCAGTGTTGGTATTCTTGCACGTACTTCATAATATACTAAACTACCAATTTTGTTGTTGTTGTTGCTAGGATTCACTTTATGAGTCACAGTGATATCTGCAATACGCAGCCTCTCTTTATCTCAACCACAATGTCCTCTAAGCTGTCATCGTCTAATCCAGCCTTCACGTCCAACATTATCTCCTATCATTTCCTTCCTTTGTCTCAATTACAAATCGGTTATGAATAGACATCGTTAAATCTTGATCTTGAACTTGAAATGAACTTTAGCTTGAACTTTATTTTTCCGTATCAAATCTGTGAAACGAACTTTTTTTGTTCTCCTTCTTTTATTAGAAAAAGATCCTCCATAACATCTGTGCACTGATAATGTGATCATAAATGTTTGATTTTTTTAAAATTTGATTTCTTTCTCAAGCTTTGATCTTACAAATTACATTTACAATCTTTTCCTAAAAACACACAAAAGTGCATTCATAACTTAAAATTGACTACCGGTATACTACATTTCAAATGCCACTCCTACATGTACCAGTAATAGGTACTAACATTTCATACTTTTATAACACTCTTTGAATGTTTTCAGAATGTATTAAAATTGTCATCGTTAATCAATCACAATCCAGCCATTGTCTGCGACAAGATAACAATACAACCAACCATTCAATTCAACAAACAAAATCACGAGAAAATTCTCAATACCATTTTGATATCCAATAAGTCTTCTCAATCACTTTTGCTTTTTAAGCCCCACGTGATGCTGATTGATCTTCATGAGTTTCAATTGTCTTTTCCAATGCCGTAAAAAAAACTAACCACTTCCTCTCTTAGTCAAGGCTGTAATCAAGCTCAAATCCCTAGCATCAATTTCTTCCCATGTGTGACACGTTGTTATTGTTGCTGTTGCAGGGTCACACAAACTTTCTAAAGCTTTTAACTCCCATGGGAATGACTAGTAGCTATTCCTAAATTTTGAGGTCCTCTTAATCCTATGTCGAAAAAGGTTTATATTAGGACTTCCCAAACATATAACTTAACTTTCATCTTCATTATTGTTTACCTCTGAATGGCATTGCAAAGTGAAAATGATTGTCTCACAATTATGAACCCAGTGCACCATTACCACTCGCCATGCATTCTGTTCTGTAAAGTGCATAGAGACATGCAATTATGCCTACCAGTATGTGTTATGCGCTATACAAAAACGTTTCATTATTATTATTATTATTGTCAATGTTATTAGTGTTGAATAAAGGTCATCTTAAATTTATACTTGTACTGGTAGCTACTTTGATATAAATGGCTACAACACGTGACTAGCTTGTGATGAAAACGGGTATTGCAGCTTACAAGCAAAGTGCCAACCTAATACAAATAGGTACATTGACAGGCGTACATCGGTGTACATGTATTGGTTTCTCAAAGTGAAAACGTACAATTACAAAAAGAAAGTTCACATGCAAGAAGAGATGGAGGACAGAACTAAGTATGAAAATGGATTTTAGAAGGTGATCAATCACTCATCTAGCCACATATTGTCCAGGTTTTATTTCATCATAGACAGAGCAACAGGGTTCGGTTAGGGTAAGGAACAGTATTGGATCAAGGATTGAGGAAAAATATTCACATAGTATCAGAAATTTAAAAACTCAGGATGTGTTGTATGATCTATTAGAATGTCAAGGAGTAGAACTTACAATGTGTACATGATGACCCCGCATGCCCAGAGGTCAATCTTCTGTCCATAGCTGGAGATGTTCTCCAAACCCATGCTGCACTTCAACATTTCTGGAGCCATATACCCAGGAGTACCGCATAGCTCTGTAAAAATTAAATAATTATAGATCATTATTGTACTGCAATATGAACATTATGACCCCACATGCCAAACAGAAATCTTCTGTTCTATCCATAGAGCGATGTTTTCTAATCCCATGCCGCATTTCAACACTTCTGGAGCCCTGTACCCAGGAGTACTACATACATGTAGCTCTGTAGAGATTACATCATTTAGGATTATTATGAATTTATAATAATTATCTGCTGAGGTGTTGTGGTTTGGTGGATAAGCCATCCGATTGATAATCACAAGGTACAGGGTTCAAATCCCTGGTAAGGCACTTATGTCCTTTGGCAAGACTTTAATGTACCCTTACCACACTTGGGTGGTGCATTAAAATGAGTACTGTTATGAAGCCTTCCTTGAATGTTTCATCACCTTCACTAGAACAGCTAGGCTACAGCTAACACAAAGCATTTTGGAAGAGCATAGAAAAATTGATAAGTATGAGATATGCACTTTACAAGCACTGAATACAAAATGTACAATTAATCTTATCTGCATGTATTTGGTCATTCATAAAATACACCAATAGTATATTCAAAATAGAGTGAAATTACTCATTGTACAAACCTAACACAGAACTCTTGCACAAATTGAAAATACTCACCTCGTAAATAGACCCCTTCTGTGAGCTCGGCTGCCATTCCAAAGTCAGATATCTTCACCTTCAAATTGGCATCTAATAGAATGTTTTCAGGCTGCAAACAAAAATGGAGGGTTAACTTCAGTTTTAAAAAGAAGAGCTCCACACTATTCAAATATTAACTTTTTTCTACTCAATGATATTTTCTCCAATAGAACTAATTAAGAATAAAACTATCTAAATTTCACTAAATGAGAAAATAGAAATTTGTAATGTACTAAACAATGTTATTTGCTCTGACTAATATGATAAATGGAGATAACTACGCTTTAGAGAACACAAGTTTGTTTTTTATCAACCATTTTCAAAAAAGTTTTCTGAAAAGATGCAAATATTTGCGAACTGAAACTTTGGCGATTCTGGAACCTTCATAAAGTTTCACATACGCATTTGAGAAACTGGATTTAGCCCAGCTGAATGAATTATACATTGTAGAATCAACAAGGTCTTCTAGAAAAAATATTTGTAAAATAAGACAGTCCTGTTTGGGCCAATTTCATACATACTTATTTCATTTTACCAAGAGACAAAATCCAGACAATTTACAGTGACTTATACAGGGCATTGTTATCACATTTTGTTAAATGTATCAATTGGGAGTTTTAAAGTTTGGACATTTGGAAATTTGAAATATAAACAGGAACAGAGAAACAAATAATAGATTAATTTACACAGCCAAAACACTATTTTGAAAAATCATCAATTTTTGGACAGCCATTTACACTTTTGGAAAAAAACTCATAGAAAAAATGTCTGTGTTTGCTCATTCCGATTTGTCAGTGTGTATGGTGGAAGCGAGGAGAGTCATGTGACTAAAACCCGGAATCATTCACAGATGTTTTGAGGGCTTGCATTTACACTGCAAAAATCAGTAAAATGTTTGCTGGCGTTTAACCAAAAAAAAGACAATATAGAGGTAGATTTTTAATTTCGGTTTTTCCTTGTGTTTGCAACTTCTGCCAAAACACAGGAATGTGAGAAATATCAATGTTTTTTGCTGGTAGTGCAAAAGCCGTTAATTGGCATGACTTACCTTTAAATCTCTATGTACAATGTTATGGCTATGAATGTAAGCTACAGCACTGATGACACTCCTCATGATGGCCCTGATGAAGTAGAATTGAAAGAAATCACATATTACAGCTGATGCCAAAAGTAATTTAATTCAAAATAAATTAACAAACTGTATAGTAATTGTGATCAAATGTTTCTCATGCTACAACAATTTAAAAAATGTACACCAACATGGGTTAATACATAAAACAACAGGCCCAGAATTACAGAAAATCACTAAATAATTAAAAAAAGATGCCATCATTTATTTACTGTTAAGAATTCTGATCCTACTAAAAATCTGACAAAATTTCCAAGCAATTAAAATAACATCTTATAATGGAAAGAGGCTGTATATATTGTCCTTAGCTTGACAATTCTTTTAAACAGAAGGTATTTATACATTACAAGGGTATGTGTCTGAGTAGAAAATTTGTCTTTAAGTCTACCTTTATTTCTAGGGCCAACTTTTTTTATTTGCTGTGTGTGCTGTAATAAAATATGAATATCTGGATATAAATTCTTGTTTGTTCTTACCGGTACTCAAAGTAGCAATAATCGAATGCATGTATACACAAAAGAGACTTCATTGATAACAGATAGATAATGGACGATCACTTACCTAGTCTTCTTCTCAGACAGGGTTATAACAGCTGTCAGATAGTCGAATAGTTCCCCTGAGTGACATCTGTGATAAGGCAGATATGAACAGTATTGGGAGTTTCACAGTTCATGAGATAATATGCTATCTGTAGTTGTGTGACAGATTACAATGTCACACATGTATGTGCTTGAGCCAGAAGGGAAGTAACTTATAAATATATTTTACACAGAGTTAAATCCTTTCTTGTTCTTGGCAGAAAATAACAAGATATTTATAATGTGCAACGTATTCACCCAAGTGGTCCTAAAGTCGCTTACAATAAGCAGACTAATTACAAAAATGCTCTGAAGGTGCTTACAACAAAATGAACCAAGACATATGAAGGAGAAAAAACTAAATCTTGTTATAAGGTGTGTGTGTTTTTAGTCTTCTCTTAAAAATAAAGTTGAGTTCTGGTCATGTGATTGCATTGTAAAAAAATGGTGTGGAATCTATCAGAAAAGGTTGATCATCTAGTATATAAGTATTTGTGTGTATTGCAAGGTTCTGGAATCATCAAAAAGATTAGAAATTTGGCCAAATCTTGGCAAAGTTACAAGCACTGTACACAGAATGATGTATATGGGACTACACAAGCACATGGCGAAAAAAGCCTACCCCCAAAGTTTTACGATGTTTCATGTCGTATTTAGAATATGAAGGCATTTGAAGAGCCATGCTTTTCAGGGAACATGTTTAATCTGATGTTCTTCCACCCTTGCATAATAACAATGATAACGCTCACAAATTATTTTTTACCTCTTCCCAGAACTCAACCTTCTCTTTTAAGTCATCTACAGTAGCACAAATCTTTCCCTGATTTTGGGCGTCTGTTCCACAACCAGGGAGCATCTGACATGTACAGTACATTGTACAGTATGCTCTAATCTAATATAATTCCTTGTAACTTTCTTAAGAATCATATAAACAATGCCTTTTGTTATGCAAAGAAAAATGACATGTACACTTGTATAATTTCTTTTGTATACTTTGTAAAATGTTGTTTGTAATATATTTATTGTACATGATTTGTATTTATCATGTTAAAAATGGAAATAAAACTTGAAACTTAAAACTTGCTTAAAATCTTCTAATGATGACATACATGTACATTTTGGTTTTACTACCCTTTGTAACCTTTCTGCATGTACATGTATAACAGATCATTTAACACTACAATTAATATTTGACTTTAATAGCCTTTATTACATAAAGAGATGTGAACTTACAATTCAAATACTAGGAAAAAGTATGTTGGAGACTCAATGAAGTCAATGAGGGCAACTGAAACGAGAAAGAAAAAGAATGAAATAAAATAACATATAAATAGACATACACAATAGTGTAAGTTTTCTCACAATCTTACAATGTATATTTATACACCTGTATCTGCAGTGTTTCAAAATAAAATGCAAGTACATGTATGTGCAGTTGAAGTCCCTAAAAATACAAATGTAGGCCTATCAAGTGAGCACACTACATAATTTGTGAAAATCATGATAAAAAACACAGGTCCATAGAAGCATCAAAATAGAATTCAGAACTACTGGTACCTAGTGTTGGAAGCCCCAACAATTTGATGGCAAAATTTCACTTAAATTGTATCATAATGTGAAAGAAGAAGAAATTCTGCAAGGATTTTTAGAACAAATTTGTTTCAAGTCGAATATTGATGAAAGAATACAAAATTGAAGCTTTCTGCGTACAAGTTACAGAAAACCCAATTTATAAATTCTTAATTTTTGGCCAATTTGGGGCTCCCGACACTTTAGAGGGGCTTTAAATAATGCTAAAAATTACTCAAAATTTGGTAATGAGATAAATTTGTGTATCCTTACTGATATTGGGATGTCCCTCTCCCTCAGCCATCTTATTGAGGATCAAGATCTCGTTCCTATACTCCTCCTGGATAGCCTCTGCTCGATTGTCGCCCCCATGGTTCTGGCCCGTGATGTCGATGATCTTGACCGCATACTCCTCGTTGGTGTTACGGTTGCAGCAGAGCCGAACGGTGCTACTCACTCCCCTGCAAGAAAAAATTAGGATTTTGTTTTTGTAAGGGTTTCTTTGAAGTCTAATTATTCTGATGTGACGTGATATAAAAAAAAATTTGTGGAACAGGTGTCAGGTTAATATGCAGGTGACTCCCGTTCTACACATTTTTAGATAATAGCAGTGAAGGGATGTTCCTTTGTCTACCACAGCAATTGTTGAGGGTAGAATGAGGAACTGTATATTTTGTCCTCTTTCTTTGTCCGTCATGTTCATAGTGACAATGACTGTTTATAGAGTTTGGGGGACAAATCATCATCTTCTTCCTCAAGGGGAAATCCAAATTTGATAGCAAACTACTCTAGAGGAACACAGAACAATTAGAGAAGTAGACTGGTGGAAGTTTGAATGAAATCGGGCAAAACAATGAGAAACTTATGAATTTTTTGAAAGTTGTAATCACTATACAAGGTGTGTGCTCTTCAAATTGGCATACAGTTAAACCTGTTAATAGTGTCCACCTCTCTATATAAAGGCCACCTGAAAATAGTGGCCATTCATTTTGTCTCCCTCAAGAGATAAATAAGTGTTGTAGAACCTGTCTAGAAAGTCTGTCTATAGTGGCCATTTTTTCTGGTTATCTTAGGTGGCCTTACATGTAATAGACCGGTTTGACTGTACATTACATTGCTATTTCATGTGACATTACACGTGACCCAAGAACTACATGTAGTTCATGTTATGTAAATAGTGTTGTCAATAGATTTGACTGATAATACTTCACTTCATCCATTGAGTTGAAAAACGAACAATCGCTTTGTTTACTTTTCAAATGACATAACAAACAAATGCAAATAAGCACTATCAGATTAATTAGAGATTAAGATACACTGTAGGTACCTTTGGAGTTTTCATTCTTGTCAATGATTAAGAGCTAATATATCCCTGTGAAGTTATAGTGGGGGAGGGGATGGGGGAGGGGATGGGGGAGGGGATGGGGGAGGGGATGGGGGAGGGGATGGGGGAGGGGATGGGGTGCCGATCTTGAGTGATAAAAGGGGAGAGGCTCCATCTACTTTATAGACTAACGGTATCAATAATCATTCCTTAGACCAAGGACCTATAAACTATGCTTAGACTTTAACCGGTATTGCACTTTAGCACTGTCAAATAACAAAGTTAACCTTGCCTACATGTATGTATGTGTAATGTTTGCCCATGTACAGTACTGTACTATGGGACTGCAGGATTAAAATACCTTCTTTTCCATGAGAGCTCATTTGGGATTTGTCAACTTTTAGGGGGAAAGGAGATGTCTTCTTTGCTAACAATAATTATGTACATGTACTTTATTGTTTTTCCACGATAGTTCATTTTGTGTATACTTGAGCTTTGTTACATATTTCCAGAGCCAAATTGTTCACTTCTCTTTGTGTACATGTATATTTTCATTTGTTCTGTTCACTTTTTTTTATGTGTCTCTTTAAACAATGCACACCTATACAATGTATACATGACATGAACATGTACATGTATGTAACTGCACTAAAGGTCTACGTGTACATGAACATGTAAGGATGTTGCAAATATGTAGACATTATTGCAAGTTTGCAGCACACGAACATGTTGACATCAACTCAAAAATCAATACCAGACTACAGCATTCAGCCTTAAATGTCAACAAACTTTTATTATGCACATCAAACTTTATTAACAATACCACGAAATTTGGGGCACTTTTGAATGTAGGCCTACATGTTTTGTGCCTTTTGCATATCATATCCCAGACAGTATAAACATGGCAATCCAACAGTTCATCTACTGTACAGTACAAGGATCTTTCTGCCGTTTACATTCTCTCACAGGGCATGCCTTCAAAACACACCCAGAGTAATCCTGGGCATAATGCCAGTAGACATTTAACCTTCTCTGGACCCACCCCCAAACGTACATTACATGTAGTCTAGATTTGAAACCGTTTTTTTTAATGCACATTGTCGGGGAGCACTAGCTCTTGAAAGCTCTATTAATTATAAAGGGAAATAGACAAAAAAAGATACATGTACATACAACGAGAACGAACTGGGGTATCAAATAAAGATGCATAAATATTTTTGTGTGGAAGTTTTATTTTTACTCCATTAAATGAAAAAAGAGCTCTCATAAAGAAAAATATAAATATTTTACTGTTTAACCCCAGGAAGAATGTTTCCATTTAAATGGACTGATAAATGACCCTTATACATGTATATGCATACTGTAAAATGAATCTACCCCTATCCCCCCCCCCCCCTGAAAAAAATGTAGGAAAGAGGAATTCATGAAATCTATTACATGTATCTGACTCAAAAAGGGTATAATCTGAAAACTAAGGTAACAATATCTAGTATCATTTACTAAACATCTACACATAGCCCACAACAAAACAACCCCCCCCCCCCTCCTCCCCGTCATGTATCCTGTATAACGAAAGAATTTCAAACATGGCAGCCAAGTCAACTCCCTCTGAACCTTTCTACAATCCGATACAAATGTCATTGCCACTACCCTTTGTTCAACCTAACGAGCATGTGACTTGTCAATCACATGCAGTGCTCAGTTGCAGAACAGTTCAGTTGTTTTCACACCGTATCCATACATGAGAATGGTATGGTATTGTTTTATATGTTTACCAATGTGTAACCTGCAATATGAACTACCGGTACATTGTAAATGTACCAGTACTTGGTAGTACTGTGCTAGATGGTACAGACTTATTATTCAAAATGTCGAATCAACCACTGCATTCAATATTTGTATGAAAATGTGGGAACTCGGGGAAAAACTCCAATAAAATTCACCCTTCCCCCACTACAACCATCAACACTGAAAATGATCCACAAATGATTGTTTACCCATAAAAAGTGCAGTTTGGACTGTAAAGATACTGAGCTAGTTTACTGAGACTACATGTATACTATATTTTATGGGGAATGCCTGAATTTGAATGACCATGTGGGATATCAATAAAGTCCATCAAACACTTAGATGTACATTTACATGTTCACTCCCACTTCCCTCCCTTTTCCCCTCCCTCTGCCAACCTCATATACACCATGTACATAGGCTCAACACCAACAGGCGCCTGGAACACATGGGCGCCAAAAGTCTAGGTCCGGACCCCCACAATTTCAAGTTTTGGACATACATGTAGGGCTCCTGCAAAAAGGCTCTAAAAAATTGAAATCTGAATCTCTTCCATAAATATTAGTGTGTAGCCCAGTTTATGTTTAGGTATACCGGTACTCACAGTAAATATGAATGATACCATTGTTTGTTGACCCTTTATATAACATGCACTTTGAACTGCAAAGACACTTGAAATTTTAATATGAAGTGGAATGATACAGCAGATTTGTTATCCAACATCTTGAGAGAAGTGAAATTAGTGAATACTGCAGACTGCCTTCAATAAGAATGTGGAAACCCAATAGGTGATCCCTCCACATCACACACATTCACATTTCGCAATAAATATGGAAAACTTTTGATTCTACACCGCACCAACAGGTCTGCGATAAGAATTGTAATCACACTATTACATGTACATGCATAATGTAAATCGTACAGCGTTCTATTTAAAAAAAATACTTTTACAAATTGTACATGTTTGTAGTTGTACAATTGTACATGACATGTACATGTACATTGTACACAACAGCCATTTTTTGTGAAAAAGAAACTTGAGCAAATATGCAAAATTTAGAGTCATTTACTCTCCAACATGTATTTGTCCACTACCAAACACACACACACATACATGTACATGTACAGTGATCAAACATTTTCTCTCACCTTCCCAGGATGTGTTTGGCCATGTACTTGCTAGAGAAGGCATCATCGTACTCGATGCCGAAGTCGGTCTCATCCTGGTTGTCATCCACAGTCATCATCGAAGCAGCAGGAGGAATTCAAAAATACGACTGGACCAGTAGGGGCCAGCCAACGTAATCACTTTTCAAAAATGTTATCCTCAAAAAAAACGTTTTCCTGCTGGTCTTTGTCCTTTCAATATTGCTTTGATCAATGCTCTTCAAATAGAGTATCTGCCAACAATAACTATTTCACTAACAGAAAGTTTGGTGAAGTTATTTTCAAAACTCCCACTCACAAAGAGAATAAAAATAATCTGTATTAGCACCTTTATAGTCTTAATAATGACCTAATTCAGGCACTTGTTCATATACAACCATCAAAAACATATGTCATTCTCGAAGAAGAAGTCATTTTGTAGTAAATATTGGCATGCTTTGGTTGGACAAGTAAATAAATCACACTGGAAAGTTGCACCTGATGATATGGAAGTTATGTGACACACACATTTTGTAATAAAACCAAAGCAAAGTTCTTCCTACAAATCAATAGCTCAATAGTTTGATGTATGACACCAACACTAAAAACCACATCCATCAATGACAGAGGCATTGATTCTCTGATGAACTTTCTTTGGTGATCAAATCCAATGTCACTGTCCTCGAAAAGATTAAATATTTATCCTGGGACTTCCATGTTGAACCAGTCGTGACCTTACATGACCTCACTATGTCTAATCAGAACGGCATGACAGCCTTTCCAGGATCCAACTTCCTTTCTGCTATGGCACTAAACTGTCGAGGTCCATGTGCTATTCAACTGTTTACTATGAGTCTGATTTCCTTTCCACCACACTATCTCATCGCACAGTCGATCGCCGCACTGTCCCTTTACAAATTTTCCTTTTGCGTCACATCACATGCTCAGTACATGTGCACGATGAATAGATTCGATGGTTATGACATCGATGAACGTGAACCGACCTACTTCTTATGACACGCTCTTTGGTATAAATATCTGCAGCTCCCTCTTCTGAACGATAGGGTAGTCACACAGACCAGTTTGTTGTTGTGTGTGTAGGAGTGCAGAGTATCAAAATACATGTATACATGTAGCTGTATTCTGCAGATGTGGAAAAAAGATAAAAAGAGGACAAATGTCAATATACTGACCAAAGTTCACTGATGTTTTAATGTAAGATAGAAATGTAGGCTCACAGTATCTACATGTGACAAAGTGAAACTAAAAAAATAAATATAGAAATTGCTGAGGACAATTCAAGTGACTGTACAATGGTATAAAAACTTGTTGCATGTACAGTTGTACATATACATGTACATGTAAATTGTAATTGCAAAATGTTTCACCTTTAATATTGATGAACGCTTGTTAGAATAACATTTATTTAGAATAAGGTGGGAGGGGGGTTATTATTACAGTTTTACATCTGTACATGTAATTTTCTTTTTGTTACATTCTTATAACTGTAAATATACTTGTCAAGTACATCAAATCACTTTCCATCTTTTATAACGGAAAATGTACATGTACTGTATGTACATTACCATATGTATATCAGAAAGAAGGACAACCTGATCATATCAAAGGCTAAATTCATGAATACCTGTGAGGCCTAAGCACAATCACTACAGTGATAGTACAGCAAAAGAGCCTGTACTACGAAAATAGCTCCATATTATTCCACAAAGAATAAGGTTTAGCCATTTGCATATACCGGTACATGTTATGTAATCAGTGTATGGAGTTGACAGTAATATAATGGACCCTACCATTGTAAGTACACAAGCTACATGTATTACATAATAGTACATAGAATGAGGGTTCAATGAAGGGGGCAAGACAGGGGTGTGTCTGTATGCAAACAAATATACTACCTGTATACTATGAAAATATTACACACACACACAACTTCAACAATGGAGATATGTACTCACACCATGCTTGTACACACACACACTTGAAGCACAGTGTGAAGTACATAATTATGTAATAGTTGTATGTGTACATACAGTACATGTACATGATTCGCTCTATGCATGTCAAGATACAGGAATTTACTATTTACATTTCATGTAGATTTCATGTAAGTTTGAATGACAGAAAGCGTCAATTGTATTATAATATATATACATACATGTAGGAAGCAATACTATTTTCGCTATGGTTGTCATGTGAACTTTTATTGTAATCATTATTCCTACGTGTACATGAATAGCTTTTCAGCAAAGTAAAATCATATTTTCTTGTTTTCCAACTTTTCTTTCAATTTTCTTTTGATTTGGTGAATCAATGGTTTCAAATAAAAACAGAAGTTGAAGTCAAGTAATATCTAAAATCAGATCTAAGTAAAAAAAGAATGCGATGACACAATTCTGCCTAGTTGATATCAAGATATTACACATTTTTCCCATGGAAGGTATGAGTCAACAATTCATCCAAGTAACTCCCTTTATTTTTCCAGTGTGGTAAATGAATGACTCAAATATGTTGACGGTCAAATCCTAACCAAATAACACCGCAACTTAATTGTCATTTCACAACTCCTATTGAATGTTATGTGTAAACCAAATTTATGAATACAATAAAGACATTTGTTGTGATTGATATGAGTCAAAATAAATTGAAATTGATTAAAATAAAACTAAAATGTTTTAAGTATCAAATGTGTACAGAACTTGAAAAAAAAAATCCTAGAAGATGTACATGTACACTGTACATTGTACATTGTACATGGATATTAATGTAGCTCAGGCAAAATCTTGCCTACGATACGAAAAGCTCCAAAAAGAATTCACTATTGCACTGGGATGTACATACATGTATGTACAGTACCTGTTCAAGTAGCCCATACATGTACCGGTACATCTTGACATTCATGTTTATACAGCTCTGGAGGCCCTACAAAACAACATACACATCAACACAAGTATCAGATTCATTTCTGAGTCCCTACATTGGCACCCACACTCCATCTGTATTACATGTACATACATTGTTGTACATCTCTTTAAATTATTCCACACCCAATACATGTTTAAACTGTGTCTCCCTTCTTACAAAGCTCAAGTGCTCCATATACAGTCACGTATGCCCATGGAAAGAAAGAAAAAAATTGTCTAAGAGTATGGACGCAGATCATAGAGTACGGAAAGCTTCTAGTTTGTAATAAAATTGTATGCCCATGACAAGTAAAAGTGACAGTTTACATGTGTATTAAATCTACTTACATGTACATGTAGAACTTTATTTGAAACAAAGACTCCTCCAAATCAGGAAGATCTTTTTCGGGCAAAATAATGATGCTTTTTGTGGGTTAGGTAGAGTACACTGTGAGTTAGGGGATTCCTTTTGAAATCATATCAATGGGAAATTTTAAAAAATAAAATAAATAAAGGAATAAAGGAATAATAATAATAAGAAGAAGATGAATAATACATCATGTCTTATTTACCCAGGGTAGCCTCATCAGTACAATACTGTTCTCCCTGAGGGCCCTGCTGAATCATATCATTACCCACTACCAAGAAAGGTGCTCAAGCATTCAAGGAATGTCTTCCTTCAATCATGGAAAAGACGGGTATGTCAAATGGGTGTACTGTACATGTACATGTAGATGAGTCAAATTTGTACCTGTCTGCTGTAGATAATGGAATTTTACAAGTTTTACATTTCAATTGAATTGGTAATCAACAAAGCAATTCTAAGTCTTATTATTTAATGTAAACATTCCTACACAATGATTGGAGACAGGCCCAGATTATTGAATATAACATACATGTAATCATGTCTGATTTTGAGCAGTCTGAATACAAAGACTACACAATAAAGTGTTTATGGGGATTAGCTTGGGTCAACAAACTTTCCACAATGCAGTCTGGTCGCAAAACTTCCTTGTAGTACACACAACATGTGATAAAAACTTTTCAACATCCAAAAGCATGACTTTCATGATGGAAAAAACACAAATATAATCTGTTTTCATTTTTTTCTTTTTAATTGGCAAGGATAGTCAATTTGCAAAATCAGTTAAAAAATTCCATGTTATAATTTTACATCCTTTTCCAGACTGATTTTTTTTAATTTTAAGATCTATCCGTCATACATGTGCACATTGGTGTTCTAATTATAGGCAATCCCTATCACAAGCCCTTCCATATTTAATGATGTCTATTTTGAAAGGCGAGCACCAACGTCATAGAGTGTAAACAATGGAAACCCCCAGTGAATGCAGGCAGTATCACGTCATCACGGGACGGTGTTACATGTACATGGACTCCCAACTAGACGGGCAGCGGTCACGTTACTGCACAACAGACCAGCATGGTATCCTAATGTACATGAGCAGCGTTATGTCATCAAACAACAATAACATCCTTACCCCTCCCCCCCCCCCCCCCCCTCCTGTAAATGCAGACAGATCACCCGGTTCATCAGATGACTGATATCAATACATGTACACGTACACACTATCTGATGAATGAGAGCTAAAGTGGTATTGACTCCATTTTAAAGTAAAGCTTATAATGACCTTCTGGCTCTCAACATTAATCATACATGAAGTCAGGTACCAGTGACTGCCCTTTTGACACTCACTGTTCACTAAACATACATGTACATGTAGTGCAGCGCCTGGTTATGTCTTTCTAGCATTCAACACTAAACTCTGTCCAATGCCTATTAATACTAGTGGCCAATTTATGGGCACACACTGACCTTGCTGGATAGACCCTAATAGAAAAAAGTGATAACCCTTTTATTGCTCATCAGTCATCAGGAATTTTTCAGAATTTTGCCACCCCCCCCCCCCTTTTTTTTTTTAAATAATCCTGGTTCAATCCCTCAAGAGAGTAGGCCTACACTCTACACTCCAATCTTCCAGCTTCAGGTACAAATTAACAAATTCTTTGAAGGGCTTGTTGATAGAAACAGCATCGAACATGCCCCATATCCAATATCTGCACAAGCCACTGAAAGGGAGCCATGCGATATTGTTATCAAATTAAAAAGGGCACTGAACGTGACTTGCCAGGCTCGCAAGCTTCAGATTTCTTCACCAATATCTTTTATGGAAAGCACCACTTCACACATGATTCCAGATAACCTGACAAACTACGGTAGTACTGTACCTGTACATCTTCATTTTAATGTTCGAAAATGACTTATTCAAATTGTAAACTGAGTCATAACTACAGGTAGTAAAAAGGTTCTGATATGAATGTATAATGTAGTGGAACTAAAATATATGCAGCACATTATGATTGTGACTTGTGACCACACACTTAGTGGATCAAAGTTTGAAGTCCTTTATATACATTATACAGTGTAGTCAGGAAAAGGAACAATTACTCTGTGAATTGGAATGATGCTACATTTACTTTTGCATACAGGTATATCTGTAGACACTACTGTATCCTTTATCAAGTACATGTGTTTGCATAATGATACAAAAATTAAGGAAAATTTCAAGCTTTTTAAGCTTTGTTTAATATTTTGAAAGCTTTGTAATCTAACAGTTCTAGATCAACACATAAAATGAATGTACCAGTACACACATGCACTCATGTTGGTCCTGTAGTGTACATTTGTACAGTACATGCACTATTAAATGCACATCTTACTTCCTTCAGCCCTATATTCATGTACATGCAGACTGCATTATGAATGTGAACACCACAGACAAGACAAGACAAGACAAGACTATTTCATCTCTTCATTCCCTCCACAGAGCTTTTGGGCTCAGCGGGGGAATGTGTACGTGTAGAAAATTTAATCAATCTACCGGTATTCCACACTGACTGAGCAAGCCTGGCGGAGACAACACATAACCTAATCAACTCTGCAGCACCCAGAAATTGTGCACTTGCCCTATTTTCTGAAAGGTCGACTGTCTGGAATGGAATTCAATGTCATGATAAGTTCATGAAGCGATACATGTACATGTACATGTAGCCAGTTTTAGCCAAGGTACAGTAAATATTAGAAAATTCCAACATCTTAAAAGGGACCATTTACACACAATGGTGATAATGATGATGATAGACAATATTTTTTTACCACAGTAATATAAAAGTAAATCAGGATAATTATTGTTTTCATTATTTTTTTTTTTACTTTTTTTTTTGGGGGGGGGGGGGTTCATTTTTATTAGGTCTTGAAAGGGTACACAAATTAGTTTTTTATGTTGACTGGATAAATTTGTTTGTTTGTTGTATATATTGTTTCTTCCGTTAGTCTCATAGTCATAGAAGATCAACGAAATACGGATATAGTGCCTGACAATGGCCGTACTGAGTACAAGCCAGGTACATAAATTATTGTCCAGCCAATTAGCCTCCAATTTCATTTTTTTTAAATTGAATTTCATATCTTAATACATTTTTATAATTCCCTCTTTAATAATACATCAAATACTCTTTAAAACTTTTTGTTTTAAACTAACAAAATTTACTTGATTTTAGTTTAAGTCAATCAAGTAAATTCAGTAAGTCTAGGCCTACACTGTAGTAACGTTAACTAATCTAGTCATTCAAAATATTTATTTTTGACTGACAATAATCAGCTCATTTTGTCAATTAGAAGTCTAGATTCTGCAATTCAGATAGTGTGCAGTGTCCCAGGCCTAGCTAGCTACATGTATTATTAATGGTTCTAGGAGTCCAATTACCCCGGCTAATTAAGTCATTACAAGTGGGACTTCCCCACCCCCTCCCCACCCAAAGAACAATAACCCCCCCCCCCCCCCCCCCCCCTCCACGAAAAAAAATGCTCTTGTTAAACCAACTTATTAATATTATCAATATCAGGTTAGACTTCCCCTTTAATGAAAGGGATGAGGGGCTAGGGGGCACAGGGGTAATTTTCCTCAGGAGGGGGGGGGGGGAGGGGTAATTTTCCTCAGGAGGGGGGGGGGGGGTAATTTTCCTCAGGAGGGGGGGGGGGGGTAATTGTGCACATGGGGTAATTGCATGTGCACAGCTTGTCCTGACTACCAAGCCCATGGGTAATTTTCTGGGGGTAACTAAACCGTGAGGTAATTTTCCGGGGGGAGGGGGGTATTGTCCTGAGGCTTGGAGTAGTTTTCCGGGGGGGGGGGGGGGGGGGGGTAACTTTCTGGGGGCGGCGTAAACATGAGCATGCAGCCGTTTCGGCGCTAGTGTAGCAAGGTATCCAAAATATAGCCTACTAAAACAGACCTCAAATTTTAGACCCCAAATTTCGTGTTTATCATTATCTCTAGGGTTAGGGTTAGGGTTAGGGTTAGGGTTAGGGTTAGGGTTAGGGTTAGGGTTAGGGTTAGGGTTAGGGTTCAAGGGTTAGGGTTAGGGTTAGGGTTAGGGTTAGGGTTAGGGTTAGGGTAATGATGACCACAAAATTTGGGGTCTGTTTTAGTAGGCTATATTTTGGATACCTTGCTACACTAGCGCCGCCGTTTCGACCTAGCGTAGCTTAGCTAGCTAGCTAGCATGAAAGAGCAAGCCTCCATGACCGGCCTCCTATCGGTGCCTCAGCGGGCCGGGGTGCATGCAGCTAGCTAGCTGCCAGCAAAGTCAGTCATGTCGCTCGCATACGCGCATGTCATCATTGTCACACTTGTCACACTCACAACAACAACAAAAACATACGCAATCATACAATATGTGACATTCATATTACAAATAATGATGCAGGCATACTCCTGAATTATAATACTTACAAAATGTATAAGCTTGATTGTGAATTTCGGATTATCCAAAGTGAAACATGCGTTAAAGTGATCAGTATTTTTCCGTAGGCCTTCAAGATATCCACGGTCTCATATGCATACAGTACTTACGCTTGATGTTTTCAACCAATTACGTTTGAGTATTTTGGCCATGCCCCCGCGTACTAGTCTAAGCCCGCAAACAATTTTCAAAGTTTCCTCGCCCTAAAAAGTCACCTTTGCATCATACATTTTATGAAAGATATATTAGAAAACGATGATGGAAAGGGTTTTCTAAAACATATCAGAAAGTGGTATTTTTAGGGACTCGTAGGTAGATCCTGAAGTGAGTCATGGGGCCCGGTCCACTCCCTGCTTTTTCCCTTGTTGTTAAACTAAATTTGGATTTAAAAAAAAAAAATATATATATATTTTTTTTATAGTAATTAAGGGCAGTTAGGGCACCTTTTAAAAAATCTGATCTTGTCATCATATCCTTAATACTTGCACCTTACTATGGGTCTACATCCATTACGGCCTATTCCAGTAGAGAAGCATTGTCTTCATTAATAGCCTTTTCTCTTCATGCCCCCCCCCCTGTTGTCTCTCTGTCTCTCTGTCTCTGTTTATCTCATCTCTCTCTCTCTCTCTCTCTCTCTCTCTCTCTCTCTCTCTCTCTCTCTCTCTCTCTCTCTCTCTCTCTCTCTCTCTCTCTCTCTCGCTCTCTCTCCCTCTCTAAATATATGCGCTTGTATACTTTATTTGTATATAGTTTGTTGCATTTGTTTGTAAATTTTATTTTTCGGGAATTCACTATCTGAAGAAATAAAACTGAAACCGGTCATAATAAAGAAGATATTTCTCTCAAGGATTTTTACTTTAATTGTTTTAATTATCATTAATATACACTCCTTTGAATAATATGTATTATATTTTTCTATCTATCTATTTATAGGAAATTATAGCCCATGCTGCCATGCAAACCATTTACAGCGAAAATTAAAATGCCAAATTTCCAAGTAGTAGTTTGAAAGTTGGTATTGTTTTGTTTTGTTTTTTTCAATCTCTCCAATAGGCAAATAAACTGATAAATGATCATAAGCTAAATAAGGACATTTCTTGATATTTACACATATTCGTGACTGTCACCCAGCCTCCACAAAAATGTAAGTTATTTGTCCCCTTATAATGTAATTATGTAGATGTAGATCTATCTAGATTGTGAAGCGTACTCTTTTAATGTAAAATTGCACATAGAGAATCAAGTGTTACTTATTATGTGCTAAATAAGTTGAAAGTTGTTATCATCATAATTATTTTTATTCATATTCCGGGATACATTTTCTACTATATTCAATATCATAAGGAGTATGTATGTATAATAGACTACACATTCCATTCATATACCCACGCCGCGTTTACACGAGCAATTTGTTTATAACTGTCATCTGTTAATGGGAACAGAACTCGTCGTCATCTTCTTCTTCACCGATAATGGTTCTAATTTCATTGTTACCATGTCACTTCTACAAGTTGGGATGTGCCCATCAATGACTACCGAAGTTCTCAAAAGTTTGAATACCTGTGACGTAAAAACTGGTAATATTTCGAAGATAATAAGCTAACCGATTTTGCCACCTCAGTCCCTTGTGTTGCATTCAATGTAGTGTTTGCTTTCAGTAAATTGGTCTTCTTACTTGGATGAATCAGAATTTGCATTCGTTCTCACGAAGATGTAACATTATTATTAATACCAGTGTTAGTTTGAGTGAAGATAGGAATTGAATTAAGTAGTATATCTAGTCTATGTTATGTATCTATATTCTAGTGGTATGATTTTAACTGTTTAAAAAATTAAAATTAGAGTGATGTCTTGACTCCTTGAGTCACCTGAAAAGAAATTGACTCCATTTTAAATTAATTGATTTCAATTTCAAGTTCTATTTTTTCAAACTCAAACACCCACCACTCCTACAATGCATGATATCAAACCGTAAACGTGAATTTCCCTCTTTTACTGTGAAAATTCAAATGATATTCTAAGAACTGTCTTCAGGACTTCCTTCCGGTGGTTTATTTTTTCAAGTAATTATATTTGAATGCTGACATATTATTGCAAAGACCATAATGTCAGAGCTCGTTAATTGTCTTCAGCATCTCTGTATCTTGTTTTATATTTTCTGTCATGTTCTATAACCTTGTATGTTGTAGCCTACATCTATAACTTACAAGTGTTCAACTTTTTTATGTTTCCTCTGCAGTAATAGATTTTGTGACATCGGATACAGAAGAATTGTCCCGGAAATGTTCTTTGTCCTACAAGGTGAACATTTTTGGCTTCACTTTAGCTCAGTTTTTCTAAATCAGTGTTTACTTATGATTTCTTGACCAGTCTCTCAAGTAATATCCGCATCATCTACAAGTACATATTTTTTTTATAATACAAATATTTTCTCTTTCATTTTTTATAGGTGCAGTTTGTTGTTATCATCTCTCTCTCTCTCTCTCTCTGATGTTGTCCCTCCGCTTTTCGGAGATCAGCGAGTTCATCTTCCTTCCTAATTTCGTTCATAATTGGATTATTATTAATTATTTTCATTATTATCATTATTATTATTATTGTTATTGATATTATTATTATTGTAATGATATGGATATTCTCGTGTTTACGTTTTCCTCAAAGGTTCATTGACGTACATGTACAAGGCAAATTCCTGGTAGATTTCGCTAGAACTATGTTTACAAACATACATGGTGAATTCCTTGTATGCTATTTTTAACACCTGTTCCGAGACGTTGCGCTCTTAATTTTGGCTCTACTTTTTCGGCTTGGCCGATTGGATTAGGTGTCGCTGGGCGTGTCGCCACAGTTGACTTAAATTTAATTAGGCAAATTTGGGAAATAGATTTGTATTACAATTGGAAGGGTTTTTCCTTGTTGCCGGGTCTGTTCACACTATCGAAATAGTATGAGAGAGGAAGTGAAGATTACAGGTGTGTAATAGCCAGAAGCATGTGGGCTCGCTAGTGTGGACGGACATAGCAACATTTATCCCTTTTTATATTCATTGAATTAATTTCCAGGGTTGTTGGGTCTCCGGGTGATTTGCATCTCTTGTTTGAAAGATTAGAATGTAAGAGACACAGGTGGGTGCGTGAAAGAAGTATGTAAGGAATAGAGATGCGGATCATCCGGAGCGCCTTATATCCGAGGGGGTAAATTCGCCAAGAAATATAGGACCTTTTAATACGGAAACTAATTATGGGTGGATTGATATTACGCAAAGCGTCTGTGTGACACGCCTCAATTTTTGGGAGGACGAGGCGTGTCAGTTCGGGGGGATAAAAACCGAGTTGCGTCTCTGGAGCGGGACCTCTTTTTCCGTTACGATACCGACATGAGTTGCTAATTTGCTTCAATTGGGTTGCCCAGCCCCAAAACATGAACTTCGTGATTTTATTAATTCTACGTTTATGTTAATAAATCTTCAACTCCAATCAAGAATTTGTTTTAGTGACTTTGATTTATCTTTGTTTTCTACACTTCAAGAACTAATTTTATACTTTAACATTTTCTGAGTCGGTACTAGGCGGGGCGGCTTTGGCCACCGGGCCGTCTCGCCGTGGATCGCTTCATTATCAATATTGATAATGATTAAGATGATGATTTTTGTTATTGTTGTTATTTTTGTTATTATAATATTATTATTATTATTATTACAATTACTATTAATTTTATTACTATTTATTGTTGTTTTTGCCATCATTATTATTTATCATCATAACTTTTCATTTTTGTGTCTTTTTGTTCTCATATAATTACAGTTACATAAATATTAATGTTTTTTTAAATAACATTGTGTCTTTTTCATTTTACCTTTTTATTGCTGTTATTATTTTTAATTGTCAGTGATATAATGATTACCACTAATTCTTATTTTGTTTAATTTGCTTTTAGGCCTACACTGTACCTGTTATCTACCAAGAGTTTGTGCATTAACTACATTTATGTTATTTAATACAGAGTTAATACCCTTCTCATTAAAAACAGACAATGTACAGCTCTTTTTCTTTCTTTCTTACATTTGATTTCCTTGTCAATGTTCTCTGTAGGTTCTATCATCAATCAGAAGATTACTCTTAGCACAGTATTCAGCTTTCCCCATCAATGGGAGTGATCTGTATGATGAAGTCATATCCACCGTGGCTTATCTATCAACAGGTTGTGATAGGTAAGAAAATCTCATCTGCTGATACTTTATAGAGCTATTAGGGCTATACATTTTGTTTAAGTAACCAAAGTCCTTATGTCTTTTGGTATATGTGAGACGTTGGTTAAAAGTTCATGTAAATTAAGGAAAAGTGTACAATTTTGACAAATAAGATTATGGAAATATAATCCTAAGGTTGTTTCAAATTTATATTGAGATAAGATAAAGGTTACCAAAATAATGATGATAGGTTCCACTTTTATAAGGCCCATATTTGTGCCTCACCTCTTGGTTCAGCTGTTTACTATAAATCAAGAGGAAAAAAAACTTGGCATAAATAGAATTGGGGGAGGGTGCCTATGCTCTGTATTGGCCAGATAAAGAAAATATATTTACCCACATGAATAGTGAAAGTTATTAACTTGAATGAAGTATGATAAAATTTGGATTTGAATTTTGCCAACACAGTCTTTACTTGTTTTGTCAATAGTATTGATAAACTCCTGGATGGTGGAGTCTACACTTCAGAGCTGACAGAGATTGTTGGTCAGGCAGCAGTTGGCAAAACACAGGTAAAAGAGATCTACATGTATATTTTCCATGTGCTTGTGAAGGGAAATGATTATTAGAGAATCTGAAAGGCTCTCACTCATCATATCCACAGATTTCTCTACAATTCATGAGATGTAATTCTCCTATCATTACGCAGCTTTTATACATTTCTTTTACTATAAACATGTGGTAAAAATTAGCTTATCTTGTCTTCAGTTTACATTTTGTTTGATTCTTTGAAAATTATTTTCCACTGCACTATTATCAGATTTTAAGATTTCACTTGAGTATTAATGATGTATTACCCTTTAGTCCATCCTTATTTTCTTATCTATACAAAGTCGAAGCAGCCTTAGCAGCCACTGGGAAAGAAAAACCACCTGGCAGTTTCTCTGCAGAATACCCCACCATGCATATTAGGATTTCGAGTTACGGTTACAAGTAGGGTTAGGGTCAGGGTTTGGGTGACTTGTATGTTGAGGTATCCTGCAGCTGTTCTCATTTGTGTTTATCTTGAACTTATATTAAAGACCGTCAATACTACTGGGCCAGAAGGGATTAGACCACAAAGCAAGGTCACTGACGGGTGGCTATCTCATTAACTCAGCTCTCAACTAACATAAGAAAAAGTGGATCATGGGGGACCAACAGGCACCGATTGGATCATTGGGGACAAGTAGGACAGTGGGGCTTTAAAAGGAACCTGTTTATCTGTAACCAAAGACCACTAACCTATACAAAAACACTTTTCTTGTCGTATCATTCTTTCCGTAGTTCTGCCTGACCCTTGCATCGTGTGTGGCTGTATCATCTGAACAGAATGTTCTCTTCATAGACACTAATGGTGGATTTCATGCCAGCAGACTTCATGATATCATTGCTCACAAAAGCACCAGTGAGAAGGTACATATGGCACACTCTATTCTTTTCTAGTTTTGGTTGAATTCTCTAATGTATCACTTTTTCATTAATTGTGCATAAATCTATTCTCAGTTGTTTTATTTTAAGAAAAATGTTGGGAAGTCGAGCAGTGGTAATCATTCAGTGTGTTGAAAGAACATTTTTTCTTACATTTTATTTATTTTCCAAGTGTGTAACAAGGCTCAGTACCCAACCCATAGACTTTATCCTTTTTTCCACTGTTATATCTTGCTGTTTAACTTAGCAGATTTTGTCTTGTGGGCTTTTTGGCCATAGCCCCAAAACGTTAAGACTCTACCTTGAAACAGATATTTATTCACATTTCACAGTGTAACATATTTTCTATTTTTTCAAATATAACAATTATTTTACTCAGCCATTTGTGGAGAAAAATGCAGAAATAATAGCATTGATAAACTGCTTGTTGATTACAAATATATTTTCAAAATTACGTAGATACTTAAAATGTTTTTTGATCAGTTACACTGGTGTCTGTCTCAATTCGTCATCGATATTATGAACCGAAGAATCTGTACAGAAATATATATGACAAATTTGTTGGATCATAATAATGCAGACAAATTGTCTATAAAATGTCACGAGCTACTACAGTCAAACCTGCTTTAGTGACCACCTGTATAGAAAGACCACCTATCTTCAGAAATCACATTTTTCCCCCTTGAAAATGGTTTCTCATTAAAACGTGTACTAAAAGAACCTGTACATAAAGACCACTTTTCTTGTCTCCCTTGGATGGTCTTTATCAAATCTCCTTCTGTATCATTGTTTTCTCAGATAACATCAGCAGCATTGCAAAAGGTTCATTGTGCAACAACCTTTGACCTCTATGGCCTTCTTGACCTTTTGGAATCTATCAAAGCATCCATAGACAGTGCCTCAGAAGCCTTCTACAGCTCTCTGAAGCTGGTGGTTCTGGATTCTGTCACTGCCGTCTTGGCTCCGCTACTCGGAGGAAAACATAGTGAAGGTGAGCACTTTATAGTGCAGGAACCCGTTTTACAAAGCCTTTTTTTCAATGACAAATGACAAAAATCAGTGACAAATCTGTTGACAACTAATCAGAAGCAAAGATTTCAGTAGCTTATTAAAAAACCTGTCATTTGTCACTGATGACAAGTTTTGTGAAACGCCCCCCAGTTCAATTCTTCTGATATATTCTATACACTGAAATCTCTTTTTGATTAGCATTGTTGTAAAATCAAGTCAATCAACATCATTTTTCACACTTTCTTATATTGAAATATATCATTAAATATTTGAAAAGCCTTGCTGTTAGTTTGATGTCTTTTTCTGTTCCTACTCTAAGCATAGTCTAGAAGGTTCTTGAATTGTGGCCTTGAACAAACATATTTGTGAATGATCAAACTTTATAACATCACAGGCCTTCATGTATTTGGTTTCAAATAAAGAGGTGAACCAAAATGTGTCTTACATATACTTTATTTTCACTGTTATCAAATCTGTAATCCTTACACTATATTCCACTCACTAAGATCATTTTTGGTATGTATACTTATTCCAGCAATGTAGTTGTTAAATTGATATAGTGTATAATTAAAGCAACTGGTGCAATTAATGTTTCACTAATCAGAGCATCAGATGTGTGCAGTACGTGGTCCACAACAATCAGGATTCACCATTTTAATCTGTACCTTGTTCTGTATACGGTAGTATGCTCGAATATGTCATACTAATTTCTGCATATATAATTGATGATGCTAGGTCAGGGGATGATGGTACATCTGGCAAGGTCTTTGAAGTCTCTCGCTGCTGATTATTCTATAGCTGTTGTGGTGAGCTGATGCAACACTTTCAACTTTGAAGGGATTGGGTATTTTTGTCTCAGATTCTAAAACAAAATCCTGTATTTAGCTCATGCTGCAATCATGATTATAAACCTTTAGGTCAGTCAGGAGTCCCATGACATTTAAAAGCCTGTCTGATTATCAAGATATTTCAAAACGTTTTTTTTAATAACACTACAGTCTATTCAGGTGAAAATGTGTATGGTAAAAACCGGTCACTCAAAGATCTTTACTTTTTGAGGCACTTCATGATCATTTTAAAGCGCATATTTCTTTAGGGCTTCAATATATCACCATATCATAGATATCATGATAACACGTAGGGCCATGCATCTCAGATTTGGCATTGTTAAACAATGCCTTTAATGGGGAATTAACCTTTTCATGGAAAGTTGGCTTCAGTGCACGCAAGTTAAAGCAGAAAATGGAGAAACATAGCAGCCACAATTATAGAAAAATATAATAAAAAATATTAATATTTGAAAGTTGGGATTAGGGACGTTATATCATTAGTGCAGACATGGCGTGTGATATAAAATGAAGAAGTTTCCTATTTCTTTTCACCCAAATTGCTCCAAGCATCTCTTTTGTCAATTATATTGGTGGAACAGACATTTTTTTTTGCAGGAGGAAATGTAATATCATGTTTCCTGTAATTTATCATCTGCCAACACTTTCTAATCTACCATTAAACTTTGGGTAAAAGTGGTACCGGTATATACATTTTTTCCTACTATGCGCACCAAATAGAGAGTTTTGTAAATATTAATTTTCTATTGACATTTTGCAGATATGTAATAACATGGTGAGAGGTGAGAGAGGTGAACCCAAACCGGCTTTAGGCAGGACCTGGTTGACTGTGCCTCACACACGCATCCAGCTGAGAGCAGATGGCAAAGATGGGAACACCAGTCGCAACACAGAGACCTCTATCAATAGAACAGCATGCTTAGTCAAATCTCAAAGACAGGTATATGTCAAGTGAAATTAAATGATTACCCGGTAATGTTGTGTTAGTGGCAGAAGTGCATTAGAGTAGCTGTGCGAAGATTTAACAAAACTAACTTTATTTTCATTATTGCAAAGGTGAAACTTTGATTAAACAATCTTATCAAAATTCAATGCTTGGAAACTTTCGAAGTAATGATTATTATCCATTACAAAACGCTTAAATACAGCCCCGGCATAGCACCCAAAGAGCTCTCCGAACGCTGCTGAGATGTGTGACATCACAGGAACTGTCAGACATTTTATTTAGTCCATATAATGTGCCTAACAACCTTGAGAATTTTTTCTTGAGATTTTGAGATTCAATTTTTTTTGACAACTTAGAGATTTTGTTACTTTTAACTTCTTTTGTTCTTTCTTTTCATACCCAGGCTGTAAACTCATCCTGCTGTATAGCCATTGGAGACCAAGGAGTGTACGGATGAACCAACACCACTGATCCCTACATCATTGATAGCTCACTGTGGTCTAAACATGCTGTGAACACCGACGATGCTGCCACTCAGCCATGTTACTACTCCTGTACCTCAATGGATATACATGGCTTGCCAGAAAAGTGTTCCGATTGAGTGGAGCGTGTAATCATATTCACTGGGACAGCTTTTGTGATGATTATGGCTGTTGGAACATGCCTCACGGTGATGGGGTTGTGCACTGCGTGTACTGATCAAGAGTCTAATGAGCTAGAGATACGGAAACGAACGGTGATGTAATGTGACAGCCTTTGTGATAATCTTGGCAGCAGGAAAATGGTCGAGTTTGGCATCATACGCATCAATCATTCGGATAATCAGAGAGACTGGTGATCAAGCTAATGTGCTCTTCACTGTAAAATTCTGCAATCATTGTAAACATCAGTTTTGAGACTTTCAAAGTTTCTTTTTAGCATACATGTGAATGTAGAAATCATTGGAAATGGGGAGATATACAATCAATTAGTATTGACTCTTTTACCCACGTTGTAGGTATTCTAGATTGAAACATGCTTTGTGTTCTAATGATGGATGCTATTTCCGATTGAATCCATTGTCAATGGAACCAAGCAAAATTGTTTATAATCATGGCATTCCTTGGCAAGTTGCATCATCTTCATAATTTCATACAAAGATAAGAGTTGACATACATATTTGGTATAGTCTTTTTTACGGATTTAGAGCCAAGTTTTTGATGAATTTTCTACCTTGATATTTGTCCATGCATGTATCATGTATTGAAAACCAAGTGTCCCCCTCCTCAATAATCTACTGAAATATCAGACACTTTTGTAAGTTGCTGAAACAGATGACAAGAAAGTTCCATGAATACACGTAATAATGCTTCAATTATATTATTTTGCATTACCGGTACTATTAAACTTTTATAAATCTGGACACTCGGCAAAAGGGAGATGACCTTTCTTTAAATTTCAGATAAACAAAACACAACAAATTAGTAGCTGGGAATCATATTTCTCCTTTTTTGGCATTCAAATTTGAATAAGAATTTATTTACAAATAAGATTATATTTGTACAATTTTCATTTCAGGAATATTTAGAAATCATTGATACAGATAACTAATGAAAAAAGCCATATATGGTTTCAAGATAAATTGGTCTTGAAATAAATAACTTCTGAAATACACAAATGCATCTTAGGATAAAATGTTTTTTCATGTTTATGTGAGCAAATTACTGGTAAATAATTACACATTGTTGTTGTCATCGTCATATGAGAACATTGCCTCATCTTAAAATATAAAGTATCCTTCAAAATGTGTAACTGGAAAAAGGATTAGCTAGTAGTACTATAATAGATGGATTAAAGCGTATTTTACAAAAAATATCAACAATTTTATAAGCAGTGACAATCGTCATTTAGAATACAATGTTCTCTTTAGTACTCAGATCAAGGTATTATGTGAAGTCAAGGTGATATAGTAAGGATGGTAATTTCAAACGTGTGTTAAACATTAATACAATATCTGTTTTTAAAATTGTATCAAATCTAAACCATGAAGCAATTTATGCCCCATACTCTTCTCCTACTCAAACTTAATAATGCCGAACAATTCATAAGCTACATTAAATTCATACATTTCTTGAAGAAAAAAAAAGAAACCTTTTCCAATGATTGTTACTTATTAGCATAATATACAAGACCTAAAAGAGTACATCATGTTTTAATTTATAACATATTTCAGTTTCTATCTGGAGCAGGTACACATATGATTTATAAACAGTTATAAATCTGTCAACAGAATTATATTGCACAATTGATTTTGTATTTGAATTAGAATATACATCATGTACCCATGTTAAAATAATTATAATTGGGAAAAGAATCAATTATAATTTAATGGTCATAAATACTGTACCCTATGAATATGTCTTGAATAAACCAATAACTAAAATTTCAATGTGCCTAATACTATGTTTCGTTTCAGGGAGTGTTCATATGGTTGTTAATTTATCCTGGGCAGCTTGCATCCTCTTTCTTGCCTTCTGAAATAAATCTGTAAAAAGAAAGAAACAAAATTGGAGTCACTTTTTTTGTATAGTCCCTCTTGTTATGAAACCATCACTATGATTTGTCACTTCACGTGTCATAAGTAACCATTTTTTCTTTCTTTCATTCATGATTGTATTATCTGTTGAGAGTCAGAAGGGCACTAGCTCATAGACTTTTGCACAGAGTTAATGCCTTTTTGGCTACCACCAGATGACATATATGCTGAAAAAAAATAATCTAGACTATGTACAAATCAATTCACTACACTGGCAATTTCAGCCATTTCCAAAGGTTGGAGTCATAAACAGGTTTGATTAAAGTGAGAAGATTGGAGGATCTATAAAGTGCACAATATTAAGTGTTGATGTTTTGTTTTTTTCAACTACTGAGAAAGCAAGTATAGGTTGTAGAAAATTCCCATTCACCTGACCAACAATCTCAAGTCACATCCATGGGACTTGGTAGTTGAGCATTAATGCCAAAATGTACAAAAGGGCAATGGTTTTGGACCTTGGTTTTGAAACCTTAGATCTCAAAGTTACAAGATATTCAATTCAAAGTAATATTTATTTTCTACCATTTCATTTTCCACATCACCAAAATACTGAGTAATAAATGTGTGCGTACATAATGACATGAGCAATTTTAAAAGCAAACTAACAGTTTGACAGTCACTAACAGTCACCCAAAGAAAATTCACGACAACTGATTATTATGGATAAATTATATGTGGATGGAAAGATTTTCTCTTGAAAAACATGAATAATTTGCTGAAAAATCATATAGATATCATGAAAAGGCGTTAAATATCAATTTTGTGGCTAGCTGTGTCTCGCATGTGACGTCACAAATCTTGACGCTCTAGGGAGGACCCCTGAAGGCAGAAAATCTGGATCTCAAAATAACATTTTGGAGAGATGATTACTGCGGGCCCCAAACATATTTTGAAGAGGGAAGTTGTTATATTTGATCTGTAAGGCTTCCCCTTCGCAATGATATGAATTTTGCATCAATTCAAAACACTTTTGATTCTTTCGGTGACTACTTTAAAGCATAGAACAATATGTTCCACCACTGAATTACCAAAACCTGGAAACTAAACAATTCAACTTCTCCACAGATGTGACTGATTGAGACCATGCCTAAAGCCTAAACTCCCTGATCACTCCCCTGGAAGAAAAAAATATGCAAATTTTGGCAAAATAAGAGGACTTACCTAGTACACCTGCTACTGAGGACTGCACTGTCATCCCACTGCATAGAAAAAACATTAAAAACTTTAGATAGCAACTTTCAATTTCCGGTCATAAATATCTTGATAATCAGACAGGCGATCGGCTTGTAAAAGTCATATGATTCCTGACTGACCTAAAAGTGTATAATTATGGTTGCAGCATTGAGTTAAGACTAGGATTTTGTTTAGAATCTGAGGCAAAAATTCCAAAACCCATGAAAGATCAAAAGTTAAAATTACATGGGTAACAAGATTTTACACAAGAGGTAGAGCCCTTTTCAATATCCAGTTCACATTGGAACTACTGTACGGTATACAAAAAACACTGATTGATAAAGTTGTTATGGTAATCTAATAATGGTACATCTGTAACAAAAACCATTCCTCTGGGTATGGTTAATCTTTTGCAAAGTTTTAGGTTTATATTGATCTTCCTCATCTACATGTACAACTCACACAGAGGAAAATATTGATAAACACTTCATGACTCATGGTGGGACCACAGACACAAATTCCAAATAATATTAAAGCATTTAAAGGTACTATGTCCCATTTGCAGGCCAAAGAAATGAAAGGTTAAATTCCAATGGCATTTGAAAGTCACTCAATAGTGTCTGACAGTGAAGTCTAAAAGGTAAACAGGTTTCCTTACATAATTTAAATACTAGGGTACTGCTAATGTTTAAATTTCACAAATAGGACATACATGTCATATTCATAATTCCTGCAAAGTTCTACAGAATTTGATGTTGGCTGCAAAAGGGACATAGTATCGTTAACACTTATGTTAATAAAGAAGGTTGATTGATATGATTCTGACTTTTCCCTTTTCAGGACAATAAAGAAAGTACCGTTTGTACTCACCCTAATCTGTCAATCAAAGTTCCAACATTCTTTCGTGATGAGATCTGATCCATGAAGGCCCTGTAATACAGCAAGAATGTGACGTAATATTAAATATACATTAAACGGGTAGCTATGGAACCTTCCCTACTTGTCAATTCATTAAATATGAGACCTTTTGTTAGAGGATAACTAGACATAAAACATTCATAAGGAAAGAAAGAAAGAAAAAAAGAGAAAAATAAAGATGAGAAAATTCACAAAATATATTTGCAAAGGCAGATAATAAAAAAAATCTGTTAATTTGTATTTAAATTAGCAGGAGTATAAATTTCAGTGTTCTTACAGTGATTCAGATGTTTTCAGCCCTGACTCACCAGATATTGCAATCTTTCATTCAACATTTTTTGTAAACACTATAAACTCAGTGCCATTGTCAGGACGCAATAAAATTCATGATCGTAGTCCAAGTCAACATGGGCTAGGGGTAACAAAAGAGTGATAACAGTCATCATATGATATCCCAAAATATTTTGGTACAGATATCGGAGCCCTTACCTGCTCTGTTGCATGAGGTTCAGTTTCACAGTCACACTCCCCGTCGTCTCCGTCTTGAGTCCGAAGCGACTCAGCACCTTGCCATCGTGGGTGAGAGGCACCGAGACATAGCTGGGGTCCTCCAGCTCCGGGGAGCCACCGATGAAGAAACGCCTCATGTCATCGTATGAGCTCTTGCCCAATGGTCGCCACATCTTCACCTCGAATGTGTAGGTACCTGAAGTAGGAATTTGAGGAAATACCAAGGAACGATATCACTGGTTGTGTACTAGTCTTAGTTAGGTTATTATATCAGGGGAGGATGATATAATACTGGCCCAACCTGCTATTTTGTTTTCTCTTAGAGTTACAGATTCAAGTGATGATTATTTAACTCTACACTCAGTGCCAAAATATAAGACTTTTGCTTGGTTTGAATTATAAAAAGGAAAATATTAAGGATGTGTATTATTAGCTAAATGATGAGCGAGAAAAAGATTATGAAATGAAGCATAAACAATTCGAAACGCTGTTATAAAATCATAGCCTAATATTTGACTTTCCCCCTGTACTCTACCATATACTGTGAGTATAAATGTTCCGTACTGATACTTATTCATTAATTTCTAAAAATGAAGGGTACAGTGACAACCCTTTTTACCATTAACCAATGCCTAAAGAACTCCTACATACCAGGATTCGGGGGTACAGTGATGCACCCATAGCCCTCGGTCCTGTACCTCTGCCAGGTATCCAGTGACAGGACCTCCAGGAAGAGCTGAGGCCACTTAGGAAAAGTGCCTAACCAAAGCCTAAATAACTCCTACTTACCAGGATTCGGGGGTACAGTGATGCACCCATAGCCCTCTGTCCTGTACCTCTGCCAGGTATCCAGGGACAGGACCTCCAGGAGCCACTTAGGAAGGGTGTCTAACCAATGCCTAATACTCCTACTTACCAGGATTCGGGGGTACAGTGATGCACCCGTAGCCCTCTGTCCTGTACCTCTGCCAGGTATCCAGCGACAGGACCTCTAGGAAGAGTTGGGGCCACTTAGGAAGGGTGTCCTGGTCCTCCTCGGTGAACTCATTCATCTGATAGTAAAGCTCCATCTCAAACGGGTGACTGAAGTTGGACGTGTATTCCTAAGAGAGTGTACAACATTTAAAGGCATCGTTTAACAATGTTAAATCTGAGATGCATGGCCCTACGTGCTACCAGTGTCTGTGATATGGTGTAATATTGAAGCCCTAAACAAAAATTATGCTTCAAAATGATCAAGAAGTGCCTCAAAAAAGTAAAAATCTTTGAGTGACCAGTTTTCCCCAATGGACTGTAGTGTTGCAAAAACCTTTAGGAAAACGCAAAATTTGGTTTCAATTTCTAATCATAAATAACTTGATAATCAGACAGCTTGTAAAAGTCATGGGGTTCCTAACTGACCTAAAGGTTTATAATTATCATTGCAGCATGAGCTAAATCCAGGATTTTGTTTCGGAATCTGAGGCAATGTTACAGAGTCAATTTCTTCGTCATGTAATTGTTTACGTCTTATTGTTTCCAGTCATTACATGTTTTAATAAATGTTGTCTCTGTTGCAGTTATTTTGCTTTGATTTTTTATGTATACTATAATCTTTTCACACTTATTATAATCTGAGGGGTCCACAACTTACAAGCTTTGCTTTTCAGTGGACCTCTCCATTTCCTCAAAATATAAATGCAGTTAAATTTATAATTCAAAAACTCAATTCAATTCAAATTCAAAGGGCTAGCATACTCACTCTATTAATCTCCTTGGTAAAACAGGTTTGTGTAACTCCAGATAACATCTGAGCCCTATCAGCTGCCCAATCTAATCAAGAATTGAATAATAAAACAAATTAAGTGACAAATGATTTTTGTGATATAAATTTTATATTCACCTGCAAAGAAAGAACATAATCAGCTTGCTTTTTATTGTGCTGATTATGAATTGAGATTGATGGCTTCACAGCCTGAGCATATTGTACCACCTAATCACCTCCTTTGTTCAGGGGGTACCAATACAGAAATAGAAAGAGAAGAAACACATACATATACAAATTTATGTGAAAGAAAGAAAATCAGGGATGTGGTTTTATCAAATCAAGACAAATATCAAGGGTATTCTTTCTTTTTAATCGTTAAATCTATCTTTAATTTATTAAAATGTTCTTGGAAGGTACACCAAATAACTTGTCTAGATTAAAATCTTTATTTTAAAGGGATTGGATAACTTTGTCTCAGATTCTGAAACAAAATCCTGGATTTAGCTCATGCTGCAATGATAATTTTAAACCTTTAGGCCAGTCAGGAATCCCATGACTTTTACAAGCCGATCGCCTGTCTGATTATCAATATACTTATGATTGGAAATCGAAATCAAATTTTGCGTCTTCCTAACTGTTTTCATAACACTACAGTCTATTGGGGAAAACGAGTTTGGTAAAACCGGTCACTCAAAGATTCTTAATTTTTTGAGGCACTTCTTGATCATTTTGAAGTCCAATTTTTTAGGGCTTCAATATTACACCATATCACAGGCACTGATAACACGTAGGGCCGTGCATCTCAGATTTAACATTGTTAAACGAAGCCTTTAAATGGAAGAAGGAACTTACGTCTAGGTAGTTCCACAAAGTAGTGGACATAGAGCCCATCGTACTCAAAGTTCTTAGCCGACACTATCTCGCCAAGGATGCACAACCTCAATGTACTAGGGGGTGCCTGTATAACAAATCATGAGAAATGAAAGATATATTTATATAGAGAGGCAGAAGAGACATTACAATCAACAAGTAAGCTCATTACTTATATTTTAGAATTATATAAACTACGGTAAACATGTTCAGGTTAGGTGTCTCCAGTCACAGAAGGTTATCAGGCATAGGCCTTTGAGAAATGCATCTGTGTTATGAAGTTTGTGATCTTACCTCAAAGTTGTTAAAAGGTATTGAGAGTAGAATGCTTCTCAAGGATATTTCACTAACTGCTGACCTTTCACATTATATTAAACTAAAAATTAAACTTGATCTAGGCCTTTAAGAGAGGGAACTTTAGTATGAAGTAGTATACTGCTCTGATCCTACATAAAAGTGCAGACAATTTTAAGAAGGATATAGTTCAATGATTAATGCAAACAATCACAAAAGGACAGCATTTCAAAGTTCTCTGTTGGAACAACAAGGGACAAATGGATATTCAAATTAAAATAGTAGTACCATCAAAAAAGAACTGCAATGCCCATATGATGATATCCCATACAAACGCCCCCCCCCCAAAAAAAAAACGACAGCATTTCTAACTTCTCTATCGGAACGACAATGTACAAATGTACATTCAAATTAAAAAAGCACTACCATCATTACAGAACTGCAATGCCCATACCTGATACAAGCGCAAACAAACGCAGAATGACAGCAGTTCTCTATCGGAACGACAATAAAAATGTACATTCAACTAATATAGCAGTACCACCATCACAATAAAGACTTGTAATACCCATACCTGCTCAAAGTCTTGCCCCACGTACGCCGTGATGATGTCCGTGTGTCTCTGGAGCAGTTCATGGTACATCTTGTTCTCCCTGGCCTGCTCCTTGGAGCTCATGGACTTGGACGCCAAGGTCAGGGTGTACTGGAAGGTGTCCCGCCCAGCCGAGTCGGTCACGATGGTGTAAGGGTCACGATGATGGGTGAAGTCGGGGGAAACAGTGATGACTCCCCCCATGGATACCTGACATTGGATGAAAGACACATGTGGTTATTTCTACAATGGCTAGTAAAAATTGAATGACGGGTGTCAGAAAGTACTGAAAGGTGTCCCGCCCAGCCGAGTCGGTCACGATGGTGTAAGGGTCGCGATTGATGGGTGAAGTCGGGGGAAACCGTGATGACTCCCCCCATGGATTCCTGTCATTAGATGGGAACACATGTGGTTACTTCTACAATGGCCATTACTTATTGAATGACAGGTGTCAATAAGGACTGGAAGGTGTACCACCATGCCATGTTTCAAATTCAAATACTCGTAGAACTATACTTTTTTCAACAAACTACAAACAAGACAGTCGAGGCACCTGTTTAAAAGTCGCAGAAACAGAAGATTACACACATTTGAGTAAAATACTTATGGCGATGTTCTTGGCTTTGCCCATTGGTATATCCGAAGGTAAAAGAAGTATAAATAACCTTTCTCATTCCTTTCTTTTAACTTTTTAGATTGTAGTTATTCTTTTTTTTTAGAGGGAGAGAGGTAATGTCTCTTTTTCCTTTTTCCTTTCCTGTTTTCCAATGTCTACAGTGTTTCTTTTTGTCTATCTTCTCTTCCCTTTCCTTATAATATCATTATGACACCATGAAGTGACTAGAACAACAAAAACTATAAAATGTTGATATTCTTACCTTAATGGTACATAAAGTACACTCATCTTCTTCTTTAGGTTCACTAAAAAGAAAATATATAAATGGGAATAAATAATCCTATATGATAAGATCATAAACATTTAAATTGTTAAATCCTCAGAATGTATATATACTAAACTAATTTAATGGCATTTGGTTACCCTTTTTGGAGCTTGACAAATGCTTAACCAGGCACTACTAAAGAAGCAAACTATTTTTGTCAAAATATGTTCACAAAACAGGGCTCTATTTCCTTACAGGTAGGCAGTCAAATCAACCATAATTTTAATGGTGTTGAGGGATACATGAATGACACTAACACCACACTTACACTACATTAGAATTTACACTGGAAACTCCAATCCTACATACGTATCCACAACACCAAGATAAAGCATGTTATACATGGCATTGATAGGTAAATTATTGACACTAACACTATACAAGCATGGATACATCAATCAATACAACTAATACAACACTACCACTACACTACCAAAACACTAACACTACACTTGCCACCACACTATATTAGCACAAGCAGTAGATTTTGATTCTACATACCTATCCATAATACCAAGATCAGCCATGATGTACATGGTGTTCATGGGTGTATCACCTTAACACCACACTTACACTGGAATCCAATCCTACATACTTATCCATATCACTAACAAAATTCAAGCTGTACATGGTGTTGATGGAAATATCAATACAACTTACGTAATACAACACTACCACTACACTACCACTACACTACCAAAACAATAACACCAAACTTCCCTCACACTATATTAGCACTTACACTAACACTTTTAATTCTACATACCTATCCATAACACCGAGGTCAGCCATGATGTACATGGTGTTCATGGGTGTATCGATGACATGAGAACTCTTCTTCTGTTCCTCAGAAGGTCTCTCTACCACCAAGTTGGTCCTCCTCTGCATCAACATCGGATCTCCTTGCCTAAACATTCAATTTCAAAGTGAAAATTAAATTATTTACAACAGCTTTATGATATGAGAAAAATCAAATTAAATGCAAACAAAAGACTTCCATTAAATCCCCACTACACTACTTACAGCTACTTGCGCCCTCTATATAGTAAGCAATGCATAATTGGTGCCTGTTGGTCCCCTATGATCCTCTTTTTCTTATATGAATTGAGAGCAGATTTGATGAGGTAACCACCTGTCAGTGACCTTGAAGGGAGGTATAATCCCCCCTGGCCAAACTTGTACAGACAGGCTTTAACCAGATGCTTCTTCAACCAAATAAGAACACAAATAAAATTGCAGAGACCACAGGAAGAGCGGCATTAATACTGATGTGGCAATCACGGGCAAACAAGACAAAATTATCACTATTACTAAAATAATCCTAAAGGTTTGAGAGATTTGGTTGTTGATGCATCAGTGAATCACAAAGAATCATATTCATTTTTCATTTTCAGTCTTTGATGTCAGAGTAAGCCAAAAATGTTCTTATGGTATCCAATCAATCAAAAAAAAAATCACTGCTTTATCAATACAAAAGCAAGGTATGGGGATAACTGCACAATAATCAATCTATAATACTACAAGCACACTCAGTCCGGTTCTTTTAGATTACTTATCCAAGTTTATTTCAAATCAGTTGTAATAAAACAAAAGCTTTCTAATTACAACTTATTGTAATCGATATTACTGCCAGAGCTGGCTCAAAGATGGATCTCAATACTAATCTCTGACCTCTATATCTTTGAAAAACTTTTACAGAAAGTTCAGTTTTGACAAATATGTGTCAATCTCCATATCAATGTTTCCTATGTATTGATAGTGGCTATTCAATCATTTCTCTTGGCAACAATAGAGAAGGAATAACTGACTGGCCTGAAGATACTTACGCATCTCTCGTTCTTCTCTCCATCTTCTTTCTTCTCCTTACATTTCTCATCTTCTCTGCTAGAAATGAAGGTTCTTCGTTCGGTGAGGTGGTTGTGAGACTTTCCTGCATAATGAAAATAAACAAGAGGACCTATTGATCTAGAAGTTCTAGGACAAGAGCAGCAATTTGTCAAGGAATAAGTCTTCAGCGACTGGACAATGGTGCACTTTGTATAACTTTGGCTATAGATAATTTGAAGGCTTTTGCCTCTTTATCACACTCTGTGCTAATATTTTCCTCAAAATGTCTGTTTAAAATTCTGAGAAATTATATAATGTATGCACAATTCAATGAATGGGACAGATTTTTTTCATTGCGATTGTACTGATTCCCTTTAAAGAGAATTATATCCATTGTGGCAACATACATACCATCCACACACAGAGCAATTGGTTATGTTTAGAACTTATATTTTTTAGCTGTAATCAAAATTCCATTTTTGTTAAACATGTGTGCACGAAATTGGTCTAACTATTAAGCAAGTTTCAGATAATGATTCAAACAGCTCTATTAATTTAGTACTTGACGATAATCATGATTATTTTATATGAATTTTCCAGCCACAATAAAGTTAAGAAGAAGATGGATAAGGGTAGTAAACCGGCATAAAAGAGCACAATCCTGGTTTTAATCCCACTATTTTCTTGTGTGTCAATGGGCCTAGAGTTCTAATCAAATCAAGACATGCTATGATTTTATAACCATGATTAGAATCTCCATTTTTGGTATGTGTGTGTCTAACCAAAATTACCACCAATTAATTGTATTTGGATCACAAATCATACTACACAAATGATTTGTTGGATTTAAAAAATAACTGATTATTTGTCATTTTTGTGCCACAATAAATGTCGGAGGATGTGAGATAAGGAAATGGAGTGTATATCCACAAATAAACAGACGCAATAAGAGTGCTATTTTAATCCTGGTTCAAATACCACAATTTTCTCAAGTGTGAATGGACCCAGAGTTCTCCTAACCTAATCAAATCAAGGTCGTACCTCTTCCTTGTGGGTAAAGCTATCATAATCGGTATAGCTGAAGATGCGCTTGGTTTTCCTGCCTCCTTCGGCCTTCTGTTGCTTGATATCGGTGAAGTACTTCTGCTCCAGGGGCCCCTCGCAGGACGCCTCGTTGGAGTAGAGCTGCACCTCCCGGCGGCTGAACACCTTCTCCTGCCAGTCAAAGATGTAGAGATCCTCATTCTCTGTGTTTGGCTGTTCTTCTGGAATAAGGGCATGAAGAATTATATAATTCATATATGCAAATCAATAGAGTAGTAGTGGTGGTAATGGTAATGAGGATGATGATAATAATGATAATGACAAAATGACAATAACAAAACTACTACAGTGAAACCTGTCTATAAAGACCACCCAAGAGAGACAAGATAAGTGGTTTTTATGTACAGGTTCCTTTAGTACATGTTTCATTGAAAAACCATTTTCAAGGGACAAAAAAATGTGGTCTTTGTATACAGGTGGTCACTCAAGCAGGTTTGACTGTACTACCATCACTACTACTACTAATACTACTTCTACTAATGATAATACCACTAATAATGATAATAATAGTAATAATACTGATGATGATGACAATGATGAAAACAATAATAATAAAAACATTATCTACATAATGTTCACATATAAATTCCAAAACTGTTTCAATTACCCTATAATGTACAACTATTTTCCTGGCTTTGTTTATGTTGGAAGTATTGAATTTGGCTCATATTGTGCAAATGTTGATGTTTTCTGCTCACGTATCTCATTTCTTTCAAGAGCTCTGGGTCAAAATGAGACAGACTACAAACTAAAATTTAAACAACTACAAACTAAACTGTACAATTCGTATTCATCTTCAGCATCTTTCTTGCTCTTCTCTTTTTTGCATACACAACAAAAATTCAGTCAGAAAGCAAAGAGAACACGATTTTACTGCCATCATTTTTATTGCTCTCCTTTCCTTTGCTTTCTTCAAAACAAAAGTAACCCAAAAAAAAAAAAAACAATAAAAGCACAGAAAATACAATTTTCATTTCATTCCTTCCTTCCTTCCTTCCTTCCTTCCCACCGATGTTCTATCCTTTTCATCATTTTCAAGGTGTAATACTAAAATATAAGAACATTTTTATTTTGTCTAGCGTACCTTTTATTTGATTGTTCTTCTATGATTATAAACACAACAATATAGCTTCTAATATATTTTTACAATGTGTGACCAAAACAAATTTTCATGTATTCTTGTGAATTTGATGAATATAAAGAATTTTATTTTATTTTATTTTATTTGACTTTCATCGTCCTTCTTGCCCTTTTTCATGTATTCTTGTGAATTTCTTACCCTTTTCATGTATTCTTGTGAATTTGATGAATATAAAGAATTTAATTTAATTTAATTTAATTTGACTTTCATCGTCCTTCTTACCCTCCTGTGCTTTACTCCCCTCTCCTCCTCCTCCAGCAGCACCGGATTTCTTCCGAAGGGGTTTCAGGGGAATCCCCTCTTGCCCTTCTGCCACGTCCTCATTCCTATTACCTCCTGGCAATACGGCTTTAGGCACCAGACTGGATCCTGTTACTCTCTTCAAGTGTACTCTGCAAGAAGATAATTACTGATACATAGTTGAAAGAGTCATTGCTGGGACCCATTTCACAAAGCCTTTTTTTCAATGACAAATGACAAAAATCAGTGACAAATCCGCTGATAACCAATCAGAAGCAAGGATTTCATTAGCTTATAACAAAAACTGTCATTTGTCACTGATGACAAGTTTTGAGAAACGCCCCCCTGGAGTATACCCTCATGCAATCTGAGATCAAATTTACATAATTCTCTTTAAATGTCCAGAAATTGAGACCAATTTTACAGGGAGTGATCAATTACTAATGCTGCCCCTGGACTTTGGAACACTTTTCCATCCTGTATGAAGGAAGCATGGACAAGTTATAAGTTTAAAACTCTCCTCAAAACATACTTGTTTAAACAGAAGTTTAAACAGAGTTACAGTTGGGCATTTATGGCACCTATTTCTTCCTTTTATAAAGAGATACTACTGCAGTGATATGCGCTCTAAAAGCACTGTAGTATTACTAGTTACGACATCACCTGATCAGCATTACCTACTCATATGCCAAAAGCTATGCGGGACTGTGTCAAACATTCACCTTCGATTTGTGACTTAATAGAAATCACATACATAAACGTACCGTATTTGGAGATTTTTAATGGGATCCAGAGATCGATAATAAGATGTTCCAAAATCTCCTGCAGAATCATCTCCCATGATGCAACAATCAGACTTGTTGTACAGACATCTGGAATAGGAATAATGCAAGAAGTCATTAAATATAATAAATAACACACAGTCATAGGTCTAGACGTGATTAGAGCTTTCAAAAAGTAGAGAGAATTTGATTATTCATCAGTTGCACTAACATTATTCTTACCATTCACCACATGCTTCGACAACCAAATGCAGCTATGATTGGCAATGGATGATATCAGAGTTATTGGCCCGAATTCACAAAGGAGGTTTGTCGACAAACCTTGGACAAACCTCCTTTTGTTTCGCCAAACCTCCTTTTGTTCTTTACAAACCAGGTTTGTAAAAAAACGTGTAAAAACGCATCATATGACGTACGAAAACCTTCTTTGTGAATTCGGGCCAAAGTGTCTCACACAGAGATCAAAAACAATTGCAACATGTGATTTGGCTCTTGTGAGCGTTCAGAGATATTATGTACCTCGGTCAGGTCCAGGGGTTCACAAAAAAGTTGAATCTAAGATTTAAAAGAACTCTTTGAGACACACAGGCACAGCTCATTTTCCATTTACCTTTCGAAAAATTCAAAGAGAAAGACCAAAGTTTTTTGTTCCAGTTAGTAACAAAAAAATTCAATGATGTGATCATCACTTTTGATGTTCGACTGTGAATTTATAGTTTGCACTGTATGCATGTGAAATATGATACCCTTATGATGCTATTTCGTTTAACGTCATTTGTAATGCAATGTTAAGTGTAGGCCGAAATAACACATCCTTTACATTTTACATTACATAAAATCTATTGTGTGGGACCACACATTACTAATTTTACCTCTCGTCCGCTTTTCAGACCTCTCTTTCTCTACATTTTCACGTAATTAATCAATAAGGCCACTAACTAACTTATCGTGAGAAAAAAAATGTACATTTCAATCTAAAACTATGTTAAACACATACCTGCTCAACAAACTCGTCAGGAGAAACAGTGGATCCGAAAGTCGAAAGATTAATTTTATAAAAACACAAACAATGTCAAAATCTGACTCAACGCTAGATGGCGGTGTTTAAAAAAGTAGTAAAAAATTTTCTATGAAATAGTCCTGAAATATTTTTATTCATGAGAGATATGAACAGGATCTCTATGAAAATATTGCAGATTTTGAAGGAAGTATCAATTTGTAACAAAGGCACATAAGATACTGAGGCATATTGAAAACGGACAGATTTCTCATACATGTATTCAATATCTAAAAAAGATAATGTAACGAAGGGGGAGGGGTGAGGGGAGGGGGTAGGGGAGGGGGGTGGAGCCACTTTATGGCATAGGCGCCAACATTTTTAATTTTAATCCCAGAGAACCATCAAATTTAAGGCTTTGCTTTCAGCGGAGGGAAGGGGGTTGTGACATGCTAATCCTGGTCACAACTCCAACTCCCCCTTAATCCCCCAGTCGCGTTAAAAATATCTGTCGGCGAAATCGGGGATCTAGTCGATATATATATATAATTTTTATATACCGGGTATATATTATTTTTTTTTTGGGGGGGGTAAAATATATCCCCTTGAAAATAGTATTCCGGCGAAGTACCGAGAAAATTATGTTTTATTAGCGTTATGTAGATTCTTTCCATAAAAAAGTTGAGTTCGATGTGCCCCGGCCCCTCCACTCAGTTTAGGGTACGCATTCATGTTCCCTCCTTTTGAAAACACCCCGTAAGTCCGGTGTGTAAAGTTTTTTTTTGTGTATGAACGAGCCGGACTTTGGTGCGTGAAAAATACCCCTTTACCGGACATTTTGGTAACACGCATGGTATCCCGGCCTCCGTTCACGGAGTGGGGGGGGGGGATGTGCCTCTGTTTAACTGAAGAAAAAAAAATGTAACTGGGCCTTCTAATACTTAAAAAAACCAATATGGCTGAAGTCATGGCATTGACAAAAATAGCACATTTTGGAAGAATAAAATACACCTTACGCTTAAATATCGGAATCCACTTTTAAAAGAGGTATTCAACTATAACTTTGGAGTGAATTAAAGTATAATTTGGTGCGGATTTAACTCTAGGAAGTGCTCCTGATAACTCCCAAATAGTGGATTTACACCATGGGTGTCGATCCTTACGTAATACCTATTCATCAGGGGGGATGAATGAATAGATCATCCCCCCCCCCCCCCCCTGATGATGAGGTATCAGTTACGGATCGACACCCATGATTTACACTCTTTTGAGAGGAAATAAAAGATTCTCTCCTGAACATAATTATGCCTCGTCAAACAGGGAAAGTGGTGTTTCATAATCATGTGGCGTTTTTTTTTTGGAGAAAGCAATACAAAATTGTCTCCATTTGAATAGTCCTAAACTTACTGAAGAGAGTGATCGTGGTTTTGCCCCGAATTGTACGTCAGGTAAATGACAGTTTCCCTTTCCAAAATTGCATAGCTAAATTTGTAATGAGTTGAATCGAACATTTTTTAGTATAGGAGGCTTGAAGGCAGTCATGCGGGGTCAAAGTTTAGTAAAAGGGTACTTTGGCGGATTTTTTAATTCATGAATCATGATCCCTGAATTAAAAAATCCGCCCCTGTCCCATATAAAAAGGTTTTCAGTTTGTAAATGTGTATGATACAGCAAAACCTCTTCATTCTTTCAAAATTTGGTTCATGGGCTAGAATTGGGGGGGGGGGGGGACATTTTCTCCAGGTTCCTGACAACGCGATCCAGACGAAAATTGTGTATAGGTTATTAATAATTATAAAACAGCAATTTTTTTCTTCCTTTTTACAAAGGTTGATGCATGGGCTAGATGGGGGAATGACTTGTCTTGTGGTCGCTTTTCCCGGGCTCTTGGGGCTTAACCTGACGGCTCAGACTGAGCTGACGACCTTTTTATTGTCAGCTTTTAAGACCGGGGTGGGCGGGTTGGGGGTACTCATCATTTGGACGAGGGTGTGTGGCTGTTCAAGCGTCTGTACCCATATGTTTTAGGGTCATGTGGGCAGAAAATGGTACCCATAATAGGGAATTTTTTGCGGGATTTTGCATCTTGAATTTTCACTTTAGTGAGATTATGTGTGCGATATTAATCCTGAAGAAAATAGTAACCCATTAATAAGGCCAATATCTAAAAAGAAAGTGGGGGCATGTTTTGCAGTTCAACTAAATCATACCCCATGTTTTTTGCACAAAAAAAACCCCATGCATTAGAGCCGCATACAGGCGCGGATCCAGGATTTCTTAGGGGAGGGGGCCCAACTTTTTTTTTTTTTTGCTCCCGAAAATTTGAAAATCTCGCCGGCCGAAAAGTCGCTCAGTGGGGGGGGGGGGGGGGGGGGGGGGGGGGGGGGGAGGGGGGGGTACAGAGCACAATTTTTTTTTTTTTTTTTTTTTTTGCTCCCGAAAATTTGAAAATCGCGCCGGCCGAAAAGTCGCTCAGGGGGGGGGGGGGGGGGGGGGGGGGGGGGGGGGGGGGGGGGGGGGGGGTACAGAGCACAATTTTTTTTTTTTTTTTTTTTTTTTGCTCCCGAAAATTTGAAAATCGCGCCGGCCGAAAAGTCGCTCAGGGGGGGGGGGGGGGGGGGGGGGGGGGGGGGGTACAGAGCACAATTTTTTTTTTTTTTTTGCCCCCGAAAATTTGAAAAACGCGCCGGCCAAAAATTCGCTCAGTGGGGGGGGGGGGGGGGGGGGGGGGGGGGTAGTGAGCACATTTTTTTTTTTGATCCTCAAAAAAATTTCAATTTGCACCCCCCCCTTGAGCGCCAGGGGGGGGGGCCCAACCCCCAAAAAAGGTAAAAATCATGTGATTTTACATGATTTTTTTCTCAAGGGGGGGGGCCCGGGCCCCCTGGGCCCCCCCCCCTGGATCCGCCACTGGTCGCATATGCCGCATATCCCCCGGGGGGGGGGGGGGTTAAGTCCAAGGAGTCAGATCTCATGGACTGGAAGGGGTGAACTTTTTGGGCATCTTATTCTAGGTCTATTTAATGATAACGCAAACATGTACAAGAAATCTTAGATGCAAAAGATTCCCATCCATGTGCTTTATTACCAATTGGAAATTATCTATAGATAATGTTTAATATATTAAACATTTCAAGTTTTCTTTATGTTAATTGTTACAACAACAAAAAAAAAAAAAAACAAAAAAAAAAAAAAAAAAAAAATCTGTCTCATTTCTAATCCAAAATTGATTCACATATAATTATGTGTCTAGGAACAGTTAATTTAATATGATTTGTCTTTTATACTTCATTATTAGGAAACGTCAACTAATTTTCAGCCACATTTTTAAACCAGCGACTTTTACTTCTTTTTCGCATAATGATGAATTTTGTTTCCAAAGCTATAATGCACTTTTATACTTGTATACAAGTGTAATTTTGATCTCTAATGATCGTGTACTTAAACTCTTTTTTTAATTTTTTTTAAGTTTCAATCGATGATCTAGTTCTATGACAATTTTTACATGTGCGATTAGTCCAGACTACTATTTTGTATTTTAATAAACCGCAGTTGAATTGAATACATCGACTGCTCTATTAATTAAATATTTGAACAACAACAACAAAATAAATGAAAATAATGACCAATGGGAAAATGATATATTTTCATTTTCATATTCGAAAGCGGGTGTAAAGATGATTGAGAGAGTGGGGGCAGAGGAGTTGGCTCGTAGCATTTGGGAAACAAGATAATTATGCCTCCCTTTGAATAGTTATTCGAATGTCCTCCTGTATAGCCTTTTACCCACTTCGACTCAAAATTGTATAACATAATTATACTTAAATTAATCCAGAAATAAGAGAGCAAACCACGTTGTTCCATTTCTTATTTCTATCATATCAAAATAAGGACCCTTGCAATGCTTGGTTTGAAAAACATGAATTAACAAAAAAATATATATCTAGACCTATATATTTTTTTTTTAGCCGGAGAAGTCTACACAACACATTAGCACACAATCTATTTTTGCACAATACATTTCGGGATTTACAACAACATGTAATCCACAACCTATAATTTAGCATCTCCCAAATGCGTGTGTAATATTCGCGTACGAATATGAATGGAACCTGTGCTTACACCCATGTCATCCAAACCTCAGTCCGCATTTGGAAGGCCCTTTTCCATCGTCGAATTCTTATTGCTAAAGAATTATAATTGAAATGATATTTAAACTAGAAAGATCTACAAATCCCAATCTAAACATAAATTTACTCTTAGACAATGATTCTGATGAAATAAATAGTACAATTTTGATGCAAATGTATGGCTTCTCACTCGAACGATTAGACCCTACGAACACTACACGCAATTTTACATTTATGACGTCATCAACTTCACAAGATGGCGGTAGAAAGGATAAGTCATGGCTAGTAGACATCCGACAGAAAGGTGAGAAATTACACCTATTTAATGAAATTATAAACGGCTAATTTGTATTACATTCGAATCTATAATATATGAGGATTGATGTGGAATATCGAATGATGTGATTCACGGAGCACAATCGAAATAATAGGGAATTATAATCAAAAGTTCGATTGCGTTTGGGTGAAGATTGTGCGCGATTTGTTTTCGGTGAGTGCAGGTGAAAGGGCGAGTGCTGCTGATAATGTGAATTGTGTTGTAGGATAAATGGGTCTGGCTGGGCATGGAATCATGGATGGATGTTGTGTTTGAGTAGCCTAAGATTGCATTTGAATTCTCTTATTATTCATGATGTAAGGATGTGTATCAATATTGTGATTTAGCTCATTTAAATTGTTATGTTATAAACTCCATTATGATAAAAATTATGAATATGAGCATGATGAGGTCGAGTCAGAATTTGAGTTTGCCTGGACGCGTGCATGGTTTCTATTTCAATACATGTAGTTGCTCATCATTTTGCTCAGCTGTCCATATTTCCTGCCCTAAAGGACTGTAGAATATTACAGTCAGGGTTATCGAAAAAGGGGGAGGGGTGAGATAATTATATGCATTGTTTTTATTACTGAAACAAGACTTTATTTTTTGCAAATATTTTTGTTAAACCTAATTTTGAATGGGGTGACTACAGGTCAAGCACATTTAGAAGTGTTCAGAGATCAGATGTCATAATTGGTCTTTGATACTTTCGGCTGAATGTTGTTTAATCAAATTCACACACAAAAAAGAAGATAATTTATACTATTATTGGGTAGAATACAGCTCAATACACAATCAACATAGATCATCTACACATGTACACTGTAGGCCTTAGATCTACACATTCTTTTTTTTAATAAAAAAAAAAAAAAAAATCAAGAATTTGTGCTCGAGAATTTACGGATGATTTATGCAAAATAATTGCATTTAATGAAAGACAGAATATTGTACGATGTTAAAATCTCATTTGTAAAATCTCTCAATTTTCAAGTTGTTGATCAGGTAATGAACATTTCTAGACTCTTAGTGGTCAGGTAACATTCTTTTTATAAAATTGGAATGCATGCTTAATTTGCTATCCTTTGATAAAATCTTCATAATTTGTTCAAATTTTACAGAAAATAAAGTGGCAAAGTAAATTTTGGTCCCTCTGTCCATTAATGGTGGCTTGATTTAGAAAGAATCAATTTTTGCAGACTGTAAAGATAAAGGCCGTCCACAAACTTGAGTCGCACTTGAAATATGGTCACACTATCACACAAGCGTGGGTGGTGTGTCCACACTATTCATAAACTTGTCGTCCCTTTACAATGGAAATATGATAGTAAGGGGGTGGTTCGTTGAACCACATTCATTATGCTACGTTTCTGCACCTGCATGATATGCATGATGAAACACAAACACTTTGCAAAACTTTAGAGGACACAGAATAAAAGTAAGATCCCCTACTTGCATGTTGGTTGCTTAAAACTAAAGGAATCAGGATTCTTTTTTAATTGAACATTTACAATGTAAGTGTCAGCTTAAATCCACGTTTATCAGACACAAGGACTGCATTCATATTTTATGGTGCAAAAATTTAAGTGGTAAATTTGAAAATTTGTTTTATACTGCACAGTGGACTGACTGGGCATACATGTACATGTACAACAAATTCATTTGACCCCCCCCCCCCCCCTCTCACCTCACCTCACCTCACCTCCATTGTAGGTCTCTCAAGTCTCAACAAATCAACCTCTGTACAGTATACATGTAGCCTAAGTAAACTATTTATGTAATATAGATTACACAACCTTTTAGTCTTTCAAACAAAACAGGGGCCCGTTTCTCGAAACCATCTTAAGTCTAACTTCTTGACTATCCCATTGAATGTTTCAATGGGATAGTCAAGAAGTTAGACTTATGACGGTTTCGAGAAACAGGTCCTGCATACAGAATTACTGGTAAGTTGTGGTCCCTTTATCATTGCTATTGTTGCCGACATAAAGATTGTCAAGGTCTACACTAAATCTTTGGTGTGTTGCCATCCATATAGATGCCTACAATGTACATGCACTTGAACGGTGTATACATTACATGTACATGTACAATATACCTACATGTCTGTACATGTCTATGTACATATGCATCACACATAGGCCTACGTGTGCATTTATATGTATGTCTACAACAACAACAACACTGTTTGCCCAAGTGTGTATTGACTATTGTGGGGACTCGGGTTGTGCACTGCTCAGCATGTAGTCTTGGTCTTCACTGTCTACAACATCTGCTTGCAATGTATACTACATAACTTAAGCAGTTCCAGGCAAGGCCTATCATTTATGGAGGTCACTGTAGTTCATTGTCTGCATAACATTGCATGCTGACAGTGATTCACTGTTGGGGTATGGGGGTTAGTTTGCTGGCGTAAACCGTTGTCGATTGGGACGTGTAACATTGTCTGATCTTTAAGACTATGAAGACTTTACGGTCTACTGCACTCCACAGACCCTGTATTGTAGCTGCTCCTTACACAGCCAGAGACAGGAGATGTTCGGCGAGACTCAAGGCTCTACCTGTTTTAGTCTAAAAAATGACAATATAGAGTCTGTGCATGAAGACTACACAGGGGTCCAGTGGGTCTTGAATGAATGGTGTTTGTGTGTTGTGAAACCTCATTAGTCGTAATTGATGCCAGTGAGATGCAGTATAGGCGTACTCCATACGTAATACCATTGAGCAAAGAGCAACAGTTAATCACTCTACGATTATTACTAGAGAGATCATGGGGGGGGGGGGGGAGGGGGAGGCCTGTTGAATTCTGCATATTTTACAATACACCAGTTTACGGTTGTGTGCGACATTTTAAACAAAGCTAATGACCTAGGGGTTATGTATTTATGCGTAAATTAAGATTGCGCCCATGCAAATTATGATGACATCACTGCCTGCGTGCTGCGTTGTGCGCGCACATCATCATTTGCATGGGCGCAATCTTAATTTACGCATAAATACCACTGACCTCAGGTCATTAGCTGTGAAGCCAATGACCTGAGGTCAGCCTATTACATGGCTATTACTTGTGCATAATTGGTAAATGTGAAAACACATGAATTTACATTTGTAGTTCCATAGTACACAATGTGTTGCCTTTATGGCTTCAAACTGTAGGTGGCATCTCAAGGAAAGAGCCACAAATTCTAGGGGTCAAAAGTCTCCTACATTGTATCCTTCACTTAATAATCATCTGCATATACACTGGAATAGTGTCACACATTTTAATATGACATACTGTACAGTGTACATGCACATGTAGGAAACAACTCATAAACCCTTTGAATATTGCATGCACGTCATGTTTTATGCAGTGCACAACACAGAGATGTTGGTTACATACATACAATGTAGTATTCAAGGCTTCATTCAGTTGCTGTAGTCCTTATGGTATCCGTTGCACGTTGGTAAACAAAATCTTTTTGCTACCCTTTTCTGTACCTCTTTCGATGAATCCATTTAAACATTGCAACATGTGCCAATTGTATACTACTGACCTGCTGTACATGTACATGTAAAATGGTAGGTACGTGGAAAGCCACTGTAATATGAAAGACTGCTGTTCCAACGCATGTCAAAGTAAGTAATGCGCAAACAGGTGTCATGTTACAAGTAGATTGGATTACCATTAATTTTGTGTCCAAATCCTTTGTGAAGGTAATGTAATGTACACTGTGTAAATATATTCACCATGTTTGTACAGTAAATAGACAGGTTCACTATTAAACATCCATATTTTACGCTTACTTTTAAAATCAAGGTTGTTCTTGACAGCTGGAAAGCATGCCCGAGTCTTGCCCAACATAACAACAAGTAATGTACATGTACATGTATGGAGACTGGATTCTAAATATTGTTCATTAATTTATAAAAGGTTAATGGAATAACTTGCATTGGATACCCAGGAAAGAAACATCCAATAAATTTGAAGCATTAATAGTAAGCCAGTCTTTAAATTAAATATACATGTTAGGTGGTAAAGCCCTTCAAACTCAAGTGTAAACAAATTAAGAAAACAAAACCTAAAATTATGTCTTTAGAACAATGTACAGTACATGAACTGTGCATTGTACTTGTACAGTTCTTATCTTATCTGTGTATTGATTTGTATGCTTACATGTATATTAAGGCCTATTGTACAGTAGAGAACTACAGATCAAAAGATAATAGACATTCTGTGATTGCCATACACCGTTGTAAACTATTGGTGTGTTTTATGAATGGATTTTTCTTTCTTTTCACTTATAAGGCCTCCTACAACTGTACATTGTACTGTGAGTGCGATTTTCTCACACTTATATTTAGGTATTTTATTGTTGCTTTTTTTTAACAGAGCTCTTTTTCAATTTACAAGAGCACTTTACGGAGTTGTCAAGAGGTAAATTGCTCTCCGCTCCAAGTCTTTTATTCGCTGGCATGTGTAAGATCTTGCAGCATCACAGCCCAGTGACATTAGCAAACTGTACTGCAGATGTCATTTGCTATTTTTAGAATCGCGTCACGTGACTCTGAGTCATAGAGTTGGATTCTAGAATAGTTTATCCCGCCAGCCTGTAAAACATACTTCTGGGATTCCAATCAAAATGCGGTTTATTATCTTGATACAAATGAGTTTAATATTGTAGTAGTGCACTATTTAACTTTAGGCCGACATGTAGGGCCTACATTATGTTAAAAATACAACAATTTTTCTTTCCTCAAAAGCTCCATGTAATTATTGCATGTTACAGTCTAATACATCAGTCCCACCAATGAAACCGACAACAGACCGGACAAACTAGATACGTTACCATGAACGGCCAAAAATTGGTTGGTTTGGATTTGGGCATAGTTAATGCGGAGTTGGTGCAGATTCGGTGCGGAATTGGTTCAGCAGTGTGACTGAGGTATACAATGAAATACTTTTCTGTTCACGGGAGCGCCTGTTTGGATTTGGCGTTGTATTAGTG